ATATATCGTTGGAAAGGTCTTCAAGTCTACTTTCCAATGCAATTTGAATCACTCCATTATCATTTGTATATCAAAAGTTATGAGCATAATAGTGAACAGGTGTCATATTTGTCAAGTATTTCATCAACGTTTTGCTTCATTTCCACTCAATTAGCTCCGTTAATCCTGAAATACATCAAAAACAACGAAACTACCCATAAAAGCATCGAAACTAAATCAAATTACACCAAAATGGACTAAAACACTCGACTAAGCTAATAAAACCAACCAAAAATAAGTTAATAAATATGCACAAAACACGACTTATCACACAATTATCACTCGTGCTAAGAATAATATTCATAAGCCTAACCCCAAATACCAAGCAAATTTACTTTTGGCTTCTGATCTTCGTGAGCCCACTACGATTAGCCAAGCGCTTAAGAGTCCTTCATGGACTTGTGCAATGAGGGCGGAGTATGATGCCTTGATTAGAAATGAAACCTGGGTCTTGGTTCCCCCCTCTTCATCAATTAATCTCATTGGGTGCAAGTGGGTATTTCGAACAAAGTATAAACCCAATGGCACTGTTGATAAGCTCAAGGCTCGTCTTGTTGCAAAGGGATTTCATCAACGACCTGGGCTAGATTACTCAGAGACTTTCGGCCCTGTGGTCAAGGCTCCTACTGTCCGTATCATCCTTAGTCTTGCCGTCACTCGTGGTTGGTCCCTTCGTCAGCTTGATATAAACAATACTTTTCTACAAGGTTCATTGCAAGAGAACGTTTATATGATGTAGCCACATGGGTTCATCGATAATGATAGACCAAATCACATTTGCAAACTTCGTAAAGCTATTTATGGTCTTAAGCAAGCACCAAGGTCTTGGTACAACAAGCTTCGGGCATATTTATTAAATTGCGGTTTTGTAAATACCGTGTTTGACTCCTCTCTTTTCATCCTCCGACTACATCAACAGGTTACCTATCTCTTAGTATATGTCGACGATATAATTTTGACGGGTTCTGATAATGACATGGTGGCTAACTTCATCTCTTCACTTGCCACCTGTTTCTCCTTGAAAGATTTGGGGAACTTGTCATATTTTCTTGGAGTGGAGGTTACTCCTCACCCACATGGTCTCTTTCAAAGTCAACAAAAATATATACTTGATGTTCTGGAAAAGACAAATATGCATAAAGCTAAGCCTTCTCCAACACGTATGTCCACAGCTCATTCTCTAAGCTTTGACTCAGGTCGCCTTTTGGCTAATTTAACCGAGTACAGGACTATTCTTGGCAGTTTGCAATACTTGTCTCTTACTCGGCCGGACGTTTCCTTTTGTGTTAATCGTCTTTCACAATATATGCACAAGCCAACTAATGAACATTACAATGCCTTGAAGTGACTACTTCGTTATCTTGCGGGCTCTCTCCACAAGGGCATACTCTTGCATCACAACTCCCCGTTGTCCTTGCACGCATTTACATAAGCTGATTGGGCAGGGAATCGAGATGATTATGTCTCCACTACGGGCTACATTGTTTATCTTGGCAAAAATTTGTATTTGTTGGAGTTCTAACAAGCAAAGAACACTTGCTCGTTCTTCAACTAAAGCTGAATATCGAGCCCTTGCGTCCAATACTACTGAGGTTCTTTGATTGGGTAATCAACTTGCTAACTGAGCTTGATCTTAATTCATTGCATTTGCCTACTATTTTTTTTGTGATAACATGGGGGCAACTTACGTGGCTGCCAATCCCAAGTTCCACTCAGAAATGAAGCACCTTGCTCTAGATTATCATTTTGTCCATGAAAGCCACTATTTCGTACGCAATTTGAGTTACTTAATGCCAAGATTGGTCTCGTCGTTCGACCGTCCATCTTGCGGGGGGATGTTGAAGATAAGACTACCAAGTCAAGTTAGTTGAGCATAATTATAGGAGATTATTCTTTATTATCTTTATTATTCCTTATTTATCTAAGGATTACGTATAATTCTCTAGGTTTGTTGTTATAACTTGTATATATACATACTTTGTATAATGTAAACATTAAGCTAATCAATATACAGTTGATTATTCTTCTACTATAGCTTGGTCTTTTTTCTTTTTCTTTTTATTAACTAATTTTCTCAATCTAATCTATTAACTTATACTAAAAGCAAATCTAAAATGACACTTGTCACAATGTCATTAATTATTTTTTCGCCACTTTCATTATTCCCTTATTTAATTATTATATTTTATTATATTCTTATATTATATATGTATGATTCTATTAAATGATATCATCAATCATAAGATTCTATTACATAATATACATGATTAACTATGGATATAAATCTTGATTGACGCAATATTATTTTATTTTTTTTGAGAAAGGATTGACGCAATATTTTGGTTAGTGTATAATGTGTTACTTATTTCTTACTGTAATTGATTCTATTACATAATATTATCAATCATAAGATTCTATTACATATTATGCGTGATTAACTATGAATATAAATCATTAAATCTTATGATTGATGCATGATTATCTAAAATGTACCCATAAAATCAAAGAATGATAATCTAACATATACCCATAAATCTCCCGCAGTACTTATTTTTTTATTTTTAAGGGACTCGTAATCTTACTTAATTAAAACAATTGAGTGATTCATTATGAGCATATGCCAATAGCTAAGCTATAATATCTCAATTAGTAGATACTCCACATTATTTGGGGTAAACCCATATTTTTATTATTATCAAAGTACTATTTATAATTAAGAGAGATCAAAATGTCATCATTCCACCCTCTTCCACCCCTTTTAAGTTCTAACACGTCAATTATGCTTTTTAGGCTTATATTATTATTTAATAAACTTATCGTTTATTAATTATCACAAAGTAAAATAAAATTGAATAAATTTGCATAATATATTGTGTCGAACAAAGTATCTTAACAAATTAGGGACGAAGGGTATATCCATGTATGTGTATCGTATGGGTAGTAATCTAAAATTTTCATTTCTTATAAGGGTTAATATAAAATCTCATAGTCCATAAATTTCTTTCATTTTATTTTATTTATTAAGTCTTTTGCATCAATAATATTGACATCTTTGGCAAGGGTTAAATTAAAATTCTAGATATTTTGTTTCCTTTAAAAATATACTTTGTAATATTTTTTTGGTACATAATTGTTGCAATATAATTCATTGATTATAAAATTTAGTAAAACCCTGCATGGCACGAGACCTAATCTAGTTTAATATACTAATACTTAATATACTGACAATGTTTCAAAAAATATACGGTCAATTGACCAGATTGGTAAATAAAAAGGACTCTTAGCGACAATTTGGTAAAAAAAAAATAACTCCGGCGACAATTTGGTAAAAAAGCTAACCCTAAGCGATAATTTGGTAAAAAAAAAAAAAATAATCTCAAGCGACAATTAGACAAAAAAATACAAAAAGTTCCGACAAACTACTCGCGAATGCTTAATTTACTTCGTTTTTTAACTTTTCGTGGGCTTTTTTTGTAAAAAAAAATTGCCAGCTAATTTTCCAACCCTTTTTTTAAGGAAATTATAATTTAAAGAATTTTTTAAAAAAATATTTTTAATTTCCATTTAATTTTGCTACCCTTATTAACAAAAGGGGGGGGGGGGGTTGGAAATAAATTTGGTATCGAGATTTAGCAAAACAAAAAGAGGATGACATATTAATTCAACATTTTAAATGGGAAATAAATTTTAAAAAACTATAACGAATTAAATTAGGCTTTTGAAGAGTTTGTCGGAAAAAAATATATTATTTTGGTCTAAATGTCGCCTGAGATTTTTTTTTTTTTACTAAATTGTCGCTTGAGGTTAGCTTTTTTACCAAATTGTCGCCGGAGTTATTTTTTTTACCAAATAGTCGCTAAGGGTCTATTTTATTTACTAATTTGGTCAATAGGCCAAAAATATACTGATAAAATTAAGATCAGTATTAATTAGTACTTAGTAATTAATGAATAATTATGAACTATGTAAGGGTGCTTGACTTTATTTTGTGCTGTGTATTTTTCTTGTATATGGTTGAATATTAAGCTTGAAAGCATAGTTTGACATATTATATATGCCATTTTTTTTTTCGGTTCTACATGCAAAATTATTTATTAATGAGCATATACGTGGATAAGTCCTCAGAGATTTGTTTTTTATTTACACATTTTCCCTTCTAAATTACGACGTACTCTAATGTATTTTGCATAGGACCTAGCTATTGATTGATTAAAAATTAAATATGATGGATTTAATATTGGTAATCATTTCATTTCTATCTTATGAACCGTATTTCTCCTTTTCTAATTAGCAAACAAATGATAAATTAAAAATATATATACACGTAGAAAATATGAAAAGGAGCTTTGTCAAATCTAAATAGGAGCGGTTTAGATTACTTAATATATATATCAGAGTACCAGATAATATATCGATTTTTTGAGTATTATTCGATATTCAAAATTGCTAAACTGATATACAAATTGATACCTGATAGATATATATAATATATCCAATATCGAATATCCAAAAATTAGATTGGATTATAGCTTGCTCAATCCTATCAACCATCATGTATACAATCAAATTGAGTTCACACAATCAAACTAGGATCTTCAATCTTGATTTCATGAACTAAAACACTTCTTACTGTGATCATTATAGGATAGTTAACTGAGATTAGATAAGCAATCATCATTATGTGAGTAATTAAGGCAGATTCCCATCCACCAATAATTATAGAAACAAACTACCACGATTCAATTTTTTATACTACGTACATTTATTTTTCTAAAAAAAAAACAAATAATGATTAATAGAGCTGACCAAACCAGACCCAATCAGAAACTTCCTTGACAAAGCATATCCAATAACACATCGCCACATCAGCATAACAACTATCAACGTGCTTATCACGTGACATTAAATACACTTCAGACAGTGCTCCCTCCTCACTCTATATAGTAGAATTATTATTTCAAGATAATTGAAAGATCATCAAATCAATAATCTCTCAAATAAAAGTAAAAGGAGAGAGAAAATTGGTGGAAAAATGGCATCGATGAAATTAGAGGTGTGTTTGGTAGTGGTATTATTAGCAACAATTAGTGGAATTAAAGCAGAAGTTGAGAAAGAGGAATATGTAATTACACTTGATCATTCTAACTTCACTAATGAAGTATCCAAACACGACTTTATCCTTGTTGAGTTTTATGCTCCTTGGTATGTTTCTATTATTTCCTTTTTTTTTTTTTGCTGTATAGTTTTTGTTAATTATGATTAATTTACGCATTTTCTTAATTCATCTCATTGTGTTCTTTAGTGTTATAGCTTAGGTGAATATCTCTATTAGTTGAGTAAATGTTGGAGATGACTTGTCGGTTATTACATTAGTTACTCCCTCTGTCCTAATTCTCCTAAATAGCATGTCGGGTTTAATTGAATACCTCAAGACTCAAGTAATTGATTCATTGATTGTGTGATTACTAATGCTTGATCGGAAAAGATCAATTAATCAAAAGATCAAATGATACAATAACATACAAAGTATTTTTTATTTTCATTACTAGATTAGGTTCCGTGCCATGCACGGTAATTTCACTATTATTTACAATTCAACTATATTTTTAAACAATCAAAATAAAATCCTTTATATACTCCATGTGGATAAAATATGACCATAGTATTTCTTTTTTTATATTTTATTTATGTAATGAAATGAAACATGAAATATAATGAAAGAGTGAATTAGACAAATAAATAATTTAAAATATTAATAATGAATTGGTATCGTTTTTCATTTTATTAACTAAACAATTTTATTTTACATTTTTTTTTGTGAACAATAATTAAGTATTTAAAATTGTATATTAAACACAATGTAGGAATATTGATTTATTTCTTCAGATAATTAGATTTAAGGGTGTGCGTATTAAAAAGATAAAAAATTGGATTGTAAATAAGTTACTACATTATGTATACACTTTGGGATAGTGGAAAACATATATAATTTGTAAGGGAATAATAACAATAACAATAATAATACAGTATGAATATGAATCAATTGTTTCAAAAACACTTTCTTTTTTTTTTTTTTTTTTTTTTGGTACAAAATTAGTACAGATAAAATATTTTGAAGATTTGAAGCAACAAGTAAGATATTACATATGAAGTGTTGTCATATTAAAAGCTAAGGATTAAGAAATAATATCTACTCCTGTGATAAACAAAGTAATACGGAGTACAAATTAGACTAATATTTTATGAAGAATATGTGAATCATAAATATATACTTTCTCTGTTCTTTTTTTATATTACTTAACCTGTTTTTTTATCACGCTTGTCAATGTAAAACTTTAATGATCATTAACTTTAATTATCCATAAGTAAAAAATATAAAAGTTATATATTATGATAGTACTTATTGAGACGAATTCAAAAATATCCAATATGAATATGTTTTTCCTTACATATTATTCACAAAAGACGGTCAAAGAAGGGGTGGTAAATAGTGTAAAAGTCAAAGCGGGTCAAGTAAAAAAGAACGGAGGAAGTATCTTTTAAGGTAAGTAATCACATTATATGATCCGGTGAATATTTTTAGTATAATTTACAATAAGTAGTTTATGTTATCGTGAAAAAAAAAACAAAATTAGAGAAAAAAGGTTATTGTCTGTTTTATATTACATTATAGATGGAATAATATAGATATTAAATAATAATTTATGAAATAAAAGATATGGAAAATATAATATGTGAATCACAAATTTTATTTATTTTAGGAAGTAAAACACAAATAAATGATTTGATGAATATATATAAAATACATTTTACGACAAGAAGTTAAAGAAGAAAAAAAAGAGAGAAAACAATTTTGAAAACAGCACCAAAAAGTGACATGTATCATTCTTGATGTCTGTTTTGAGATTAAAATATATTATGTTATGTTATTATATGTTATTGATTATTATTACGACTTTAGGACTACATGTTTCAAATATATGGATCACATAATAGGGGCCCATTCAATCCATGTGTTTCTCGTGGTTTTCCCAAAAAATAAACATAGAGGAAATTATTGGATTTTTTAAATAGTTTAGTTTCATGGTCTATACTTTTTATCCACAAGTCCCTATCAATTGAGATTTTCCATTCATTTTGTGTCTGATACTATTATCAATGATTGTTTAATCATCAATTAATAGTATTACCAGCATTTTATCTCACAAATTGTCAATTCTTTGTTTCAGGTGTGGATATTGCAAAAAACTAGCTCCAGAGGTAACAATTACCACTTCTTAACATTAACCATTACGAAAGATTAACATTAACATTTTTCACACATGGTAACTAGAAAGTATAAAACTTGGTTTAACAAAATACGCGAAAATGGTCAAATTTCAGAGATAATAATTCTATGTTACTTATACTTTGTATTTGTTTCATTATATCTTTTTCTTGTTCTATATTATTTGCTTTATACATTGTATGATTTATAACATTTTAATACTAAAATTCTGTTTATGCAGTATGAGAAGGCTGCTGCTACACTAAGCAAGCATGACCCTCCAATCACCCTTGCCAAAGTTGATCTTAATGATGAAACTAATAAGGAGCATTTTAGGTCCCAAATCAAAATCAGAGGGTTTCCCACGCTTAAAATCCTAAGAAACGGTGGCAAAATCGTACATGATTATAAGAATCAACCTCAAGTGGCTGATGATATAGTTAACTATGTGAAGAAACAACTTGGCCCTGCCTCTACTGAAATCAAATCCGTCGATGATGCTGCTAAGATCATCAGCATCATTGATGAGGAGAAAGTTTTCATTGTTAGTACATCCTTACCATATTGCTTTAAGAAATTTATTCATATTTGGTTATGTACTTGAATGATGTGATATGGGTGCTAAAAGGCCTAAAACATTGTTCATTTGATCATGTAGGCAGGAGTGTTCCCAAAGTTTGAAGGGGAGGAATATGAAAACTTCATCAAGTTAGCTGACAAATTGCGGTCTGATTATGAGTTTGTTCATACATTGGATGCTAAGGTCCTTCCAAGGGGTGATTCGTCTGTCAAAGGACCGTTAGTCAGATTGCTTAAGCCATTCGACGAACTCTTTGCAGACACCAAAGTTAGTGTGGAATGATTGAGTTATTGTTATTTTTTGCGACCATCAATAAAGAATTTGCTGTTTCTTAGTGCATACAGAATATTTTGAGTTTGTGACAGTTTTCTGAATATCAGCAAATTACTGATTTAATTGTTTTTCGTCTTATAGAATTTCGATTTGGATGCCTTAGAGAAGTTCATCCAAGAAGAAGATGTGCCTTCGGTTATTCCATTCACTATGGATCCCGGTAACACCTACCTTCGTAAGGTCTTCTCAGGTCAAAACACCAAGGTAACAAGATCTCTTATACTTCCTATTATTTGTGCATGAATTTCAACTGATGTACCCTTGCTTTGATACTTTCCATTACAATATTACACCTTTTACAGTTTAGTTTTATGAGTACTTGAATCACTAAAATTGTTTATAATGTTTTGATGACTTCCATGTATTCATTTAGGATCTTTATGTCATAGCTTGGTTTTCTTATGCAAGTCATTAACACTAATTCGTTGGATTACTATTGCAGATCATTATAATTTTGGACTTGAAGAGTGAGAATGCTGCTGCATTGAAATCCCGGTTTAATGATATTGCTGTCCTACTTAAAGGGGACAACAAATACTTCCTACTTGGTGATCTTGAAGCAAGCAAAGATCTACTCAAGGTTCATGTTCCTTAATTGTTATGTTACAATAGATTTTTCCAGGCTTTTATATTCATCTGAATGATTACATGTTCATCTCGGAGATATGTTTATAGACTAAGACGATTAATACTCTTACTGTAGTTTTTTAGGCTGATATAGGACTCTTTTGTGACATCTCTGACATGAACAAATACTTTCACAACATGTCTATCTAACCAAGTTTTAATTTCTTTGTCTGCATTTTGGGAAAAATAGCACTACAAGCTCGACGAGTCTCTAGCTCCTCTCATCTTTATTCACAAAACCGAAGCTGAGAAATATCTTAAGACAAATGTGGAACCAGATCAACTTGCTCCTTGGTTCAAGAAATTCTTGGTAATTTTTAATCTTGTGATCAAGATTTTCTCTGTTCTTAAACTGTATTATTGTTTGCAGTAGTCAGTCCATTCTAAATGCACAAATTAAATGGTCGCAGGATGGAAAGTTAGAGCCATTTTTGAGATCACAACCTATTCCTGAAGAGAACAATGAGCCTGTTAAAGTTGTGGTTCTTCACAGCTTACAGGACATGGTTTTTAACTCTGGCAAAGATGGTATATTTCGCGCTACAAGTTCCCTCATGTTTCTTAACTTTGATTAGAAGTTCTTTTTGATGCTTTCTGCCAAGTGTTTTAATAAACATTCTTTGATCGCGGCACATTTGATGAGTTGATGTACTGTTTTTTATCTGTCTTTGCAGTTTTCCTTGAGTTCTATGCACCTTGGTGTGGTCACTGTAAGAACCTTGCTCCGACTTTGGATGAAATTGCTGTATCATACGAAAAGGATCCTAACATCCTGATTGCGAAATTTGTAAGCTCTTTACTTCTGTTTTTTGTTTCACTTGAAATTATATTTTGGCTAGTGAAGCAATAGGAAAAAACTGATACATTTTTCCTGTTTTCTTCTGATATATTAGGATGCAAGTGCAAATGATGTCCCAAGTGACACATTTAAGGTTGAAGGCTTCCCAACCATGTTCTTCATAACCAAAAATAAAGAGATAATCGAGTACAGTGGCAGTAGGAAAAAGGAAGACATTATTGAATTCATTGAGAAGCACAGGAGTGATGAGAAGAAGAGTGAGCCCGAGATCAAGAACGAACCAGAGAAAGCAAGCAACAATATTGATGAAACAGTTGAAACCAAAGATGAATTGTGAAACTCTTATTAGTTCAATTGTTTCATATAAGGATAATTTTATCCCATTTGTCTTGACCCTTTTTTCTTTACTTACCAATAAAGAGGTGATTAAAGCTCACCTATTTTTTGCATAAAAAAAAATGCTCACCTATTTTTCATGAGTTTGTTGCATATACTAATTATGATCTCAAAGAATGCATTTGAAAAAAAATTAGAAGCACATTATTCACTTACGTGCAAGGTAATCCAAAATTGTGGAAACTTGATTGAAAAAATCTAGGCAGGGAAAGTCGGGGTCAACTGCTCCACTTGCTTGTTGAAAATAAAAATGCATTAACCTTTTATACCCCGTAATTCTCTACAGCACAATCAAAGAAATTAATGATCAAATACGATTTTGGAGATTATAAAAAAAAACCCAAATGAATATCTTACTGAGTACAAATAAAAGAAGTAAAAATCTCCTAAGTAATCTCTTGTAACAAACAAATTTATGTGTGCTTAATTAACTAACGTTGTTGTGGATGAGCAATAGCATCTTTCTTCATACCCCAATCACGAACCCTTAAATGAAGTTCAGCAGCAGCAATCAAAAAATGAACGGCTTGGATTGGACTTAAGATGTCCACCATATTTCTAAGAGTTCTCAACCGTAGATCATCAGCCCTCCCTAAAATCTCCTTAAACTTGTCCTCCTTAGAGTCAAGCGTTGACTCAACTCGTTCTTTCATTAACTCATTCCCAACTCGCCCTATACTCCCCGAGTCGTGATCGCGCATCAACTCGGTTGCTATGTGTGATAGCTCAACCATGGAAGTATCGGCTACGGTGTCTTGATGAGCGGCAAGAGTTTCTGATAACTCTCTTTCTTCTCTTATAGTTTGAGCTTGCAACTCGTTGACTCGGTTGAGTTGACTCGGTGTAAGGTCACCTAGGTTGGTCGTGTGCAACCCCCTCAGTAGGTCACCTAACCACGTCTCGAAGTGCAACCCGGCTACCGAATATAACAAGTGGAACGCGGAGCTTGGTCTCCAACCACCAATCCATAGGAAGGACTCCTCGAGGTGGGACCGCCATGAGGGGGTCATCATCCCGAGGACGTCATGCTTTACTGACTCGTACTTGACGCGGTAGTAGTTCTCGTAGTGGCACATGACCCGGCCCACGAGCTCGCGTAGAGACCGAGTCAACTCAGCACGTGGCTGAGTTGCTTCGGTGTGAGCCCTGGACGCGGCCTTGAGCTCGTCAAGGTCGCGTGCCTGGTCACTGAGCCAACGCTCGAAATACCTACCAAATGATTCGAGCCCGGGCTCGGGATCCAGGCTACAGGATCCCGAGCCCTGGGTGGATGAAGACATGGCTTTTTTGAAATGATTGCCTATATTTATGTAGTACATAGAGAGACTAATTGAATATAATTTGGTGGTTTGTTATGTTATAAACTAGACATCATCATATAATATTTGTAGGAGAGAAAACAAAACAATGTAATGTTGAACAAATTCATGTAGTATATACTATGCTTTATATATGATAGTATATGTACAAAGAAGTAGTGGAGTAAAGTGTAGAAATTCTAAGGGAGATGAACCAGCAGATTTTCCTCTGTTTCACAAATTCCAATTAAGCTAGTTGTATAATTAGTTATACGTAAGAAATGCATGGTGAGATGACGAGAAGTAAAGGCATGTGAACAAAAAGGTGTAAATTGGTTGGTTATGAACTGGAAGTACAACCTCTCTTTTTTTGTTAAAATTATAATTAAAGACAGTTTTTGGTTGGATAGATTTGGCAAGTTGGTAGCATTACTTGCAAGTAGATTGCGCACGTAACTAAAGCGTAAGGTGTAATAAGCGCAACCCACTAACCCATATGGGTATAATTGAACGACTAAAACCTTGCATGAGGGTTTGCTATTTTAATTAAGGAAAAATTGATTTTAATAATCTCACCTTTGGTCGGTTTACGAATAATAATCCCACGTATTAATTATTATCTAATAATCCCATTTTTGGAGGTCATTTTCTTCTAAATGGTCTCTAACGTGTTGGTAACCGGTTAGATGGGTTAACATGACACATGTCCTTTCGTGATTCGTCCAACATTTTTATTTTTTAAATAAAATAAAATTTTATTTTTTAAAAAATAGAATTTTAAACTTTTTTCCCTTTTCCTCTTTCCTTTCTTTTTCTCCTTCCCCTTTTCCTCCATTAATTCCGGCGACCTTCATCCAAAAAAAAAAAAAAAATTCTAGTAACCCAAACCCAGCCACCTCCTGTCCTCCTCCACTGAAATCGGACACCCCCACCGGCCACCCCTACCCACGTAAAACCCGACCCACGAAACCCCCTTCACTGACCCACCCACAAACTAGCCAGTACCCCCACCCACGTAAACGGCCGGCCACCCCCATCCTTGTAAACGGCCAGCCACCCCCATCCAAAAAACCAATCTCCCCTACCTACGAAACTCCTGACCAGCCAAATTGACGTTGCTTAAAACCGACGCCAACAAGTAATGAATTTCCTTGAGATATAAGTACACCGTTGCCATTGTTGTAGGAAGAGAGAGAAATTGAGGTGGGAAGTTAAGGGAAGGGGAGGAGAGAGAATTGGGGCTAACTTGCTACGAAGGACGAGGGAAAATAGCAAAAAAAAAAATACCTATTCTTTAGGTTACCGATCATTAGGGACCATTAAAAGAAGATGACCCTAAAGATGGGATTATTAGATAATAATCAATAGGTAGGATTATTATTCGCAAATCGGCTAAAGGTGGGATTATTGAAATCAATTTTTCCTTTAATTAAAAAGAACAGCTAAAGATTTGATGGCATCCTCAAGAGGTTTATGTTTCTTGTAGTATAATGATTACGCTACGTGACTATGCAGCTCTTATACAACCCGTAAATATGGGGGTTATAGGAATTTTTTAGTTAATAGGTAGATGTGGCAGTTAGTTGTGCTACATGGAATATACAATATTATACTTACATACTTCGTATGATATTGCTTGTGGTATTTTTAGGGGGTAAAGTTATTATCTAGGGAAGTATAACAATTTTATCCAAAATGTAAAAAAGTCGTGAAAAAGGTTTTTTTTTTAATATGTCGGATTTGTCGTGTAGTGTACACATGAATTGTAGCAATTGCCCTAAAGGTAAAGGCTATGTCACTTTAGCCACTTGTGTATGCACGATAATGAGATAGATCGAGAATAGTAATATTGCCTAGACAATGGAATTTGTAATACTTACGTACGTGATTTCTATATATTTTGGAGAAAAGAAATACAAGTAATGGATCTTTAACAGGCTAGAAATAGGGAAGGTATTTTACATTATAATCAACGACACCAGCAATAAGGAACTCATTTGTGGCAATTCAATTTTCAAAGACTTCAAATAACAATAATTTGTCAAAAATACCCACAACCACAAATTTGGCCGCGCGGGCGCGCTCTCCAATTCTACCAAAATCTTGCCTCGATCCAAAACTTTCGCGCGATTTTGTCGCGCTTCCAGCGCAGGTCGCGCCACTTCGAAATCGGAATTTCTTCACTGGATCCAGAAAGTCAGCGTGATTTTATCACGCCTGATTCGCGGGTCGCGCCCTAAACGCGGGTCACGCAATCCTTATGGATTCATACACTCTAAATTACTAACAATCCTCCCCCATTTAGAGTGTATACTATTAAAATTTTCTCCACTTCTATCAATTAATCCACATCTCATGCATCAATGCCAATGTCCCTACGGATTGAATTGACACCTAGTACAACACACTTAACGATGATCATTTCTCATGATGTCCCTATGGATTGAATCACACGAATATCTTCGACCATTTGAAGGTGAAATACACACAAGACAAATCGAATTTAACATCACTTGACACTTTTATACAGCCATGTGTCCGTATCTTTCATAAGTTTATCAAAGTCAATATGTCCATTTAGACTTCTTGAAGCGGCTAAACTTCGAACTTACATAGGTAGGTTCTCACATACGTAATAGTGCCCTTGTGATAAGACACCTTCATCTAGAGCTTCTCAACTCTAAATCTGGAGAACTTTAAAAGACGCTACCTAATAACATCACAAATATCATAGCAATATGGGTCACAAAACATTGCTAACAAACATCAAAAATGCAATTCAACCACATTGAATCTAAGACTTATTGATGTTTCTTCAAGCGTTAGATTGAGTTTCATAAATTCGTGTTTCTTGGACATAAACCCATTCCATTCAAAGCAAATATGATGGAATGCCTTGGCATTACTTTAGTAAAGCAATCCGCCAAATTCAATTTAGTTGGAACATAGTCAAGACTTATGACCCCATCATTGATAAGCTCTTTCACTAGGCTATGCCTAAGTGAAATATGCCGAGACTTACCACTATACACTTGGCTATATGCTTTTATTAATGCCGAATTCGAATCACAATGAATAGCCACCGGTGACATAGGCTTTGGCAATAAAGGCAACTCAAACATAAGATTTCTCAACCATTCAACTTCCTTACTAGCTGAAGCAAGAGCAATAAACTCTGCTGCCATAGTGGAATCGACAATGCAAGTTTGTTTCTTGGAAGACCATGAAATGGCACCTCCTCCAAACATAAACACCCAGCCACTAACAGAAGAGTCTCGCTCTTTGTAAGTGATCTAACTTGCATCAGAATACCCTTCTAAAACCGAAGGAAATCCACTATAAGTCAAACCATAATCCAATGTACCCTGAAGGTACCTCAAGACCCTCCGAATTGCAAACCAATGTTGTACACCCGGGTTACTAGCAAATCTACTAAGTTTTCCTACAGCCAATGCAATATCCGGTCTTGTTCTTGTCATGGCATACATCAAGGATCCAATTATCCTTGAAAATTCCAATTGGGAAATCGTTTTCCCCGAATTCTTAACCAACTTAACATTAGGTTCCATGGGGGTATTTACAAGACTCTTATCAAACATATTATACTGTTTGATCATCTTCTCAATATAATGAGATTGACTTAAAATAAGTCTTCCACTGTCCCTAATAATCTTGATGCCCAAAATGACATCCGCCTCCCCCAAATCCTTCATCTGGAAAGAAGAGGATAATAATTCCTTGGTCATTTCTACTTATTGTAGACTTGTACCAAAGATAAGCATATCATCAACATATAGACAAATGATAACACCATGACCTTTGTCATCAAATTTGCTATATATACACTTATCTGCTTGATTTACTTTGAATCCAAAGGACAATATCGTGTCATCAAATTTCCGATGCCACTGCTTTGGTGCTTGTTTAAGTCCATACAATGACTTAACCAATTTACACACCTTATTCTCTTGTCTTTCCAAAACAAACCCTTCGGGTTGTTTCATGTACACTTTTTCCTCTAGATCTCCTTAAAGGAATGCCGTATTGACATCCATTTGATGAATCACTAGATTATAAACCGAAGCCATTGCAATCAATAACCTTATGGAGGTAATTCTTGTAACCGGTGCATAAGTATCGAAATAATCAACACCATGCTTTTGCCTAAAGCCTTGGATAACCAATTTGGCTTTAAATTTCACTATGGAGCCATCCAGTCTCCTTTTCCTATTGAAAATCCATTTGCAACCAAGAGGTTTGCAACCGGGAGGTAAATCCTCTAATACCCAAGTATTATTTCCCATGATGGAATTCATCTCATCATTTATAGCTTCCTTCCAAAATGCACTATCTTGAGAAGATATTGCTTCGCTATAACTCTTTGGTCACTATCCACATTAAAACAATATGGAGTAGTAGAACTAAGGACATACCTTGAACCTTCAACTAAATAAATTATAAAGTCATCACCAAAGTTCTTAAGTCTCCTTTCCCAAGTACTTCTCCTAACTTGAGAAGTTCAACATTCTCATTGTCGAATGAATCTTCATGAGTTTCAAGTTGATCATTCAACTCTACTATTTCTCTATCATTGGCACTTATTTGTAGATCTTTTGGTCTACTCATTGATGAAAATCGGTTTTCCTCAAAAATTGCATCTCTTGACTCAATAATCGAATGTGTCGATATATAGTCATTTTGTTCTATTACATAGAACCTATAGGTTTTACTATGCTCAGCATAACCTATAAAAATGCATTCTAAGCCCCTTTCACCGAGCTTTCTCTTTCTGTTACCGGGCACTCTAACAATTGTCCTACAACCCCAAACTTTCAAGTATTTCAAGTTTGGTTTTCTTTTGTACCAAAGTTCATAAGGAGTAGATTGTTTTCCCTTAGTGGGAACTCGGTTAAGAATGTGACAAGCTGTCAACATTGCTTCACTCCAAAACCCTTCACTCAAACCAGAGTAAGATAACATGGAATTAACCCGCTATAGTCTCATGAATTATACCCAAAGATTGGAAATAATCCGGATTATAATACTTCCCCACCTTATCGGTTCTTATTCTTGTAATCAAAGACTCTACTTGCACTTCTACTTCCCTTTTATAAATATCAAACTTTACCAAAGCTTCATTTTTAGAGTATAAAAGATACACATAACAAAACCTTGAATAATCATCTATAAATATAACCATGTATCTTTTATTCCCCAAAGATGGAAAACTATGAAAATCACACAAGTCACTATGGATCAATTCTAAAATATTAGAACTTCTCTCAACCCTTTTAAAAGGAGTTCTAGTGATCTTGTTTAACATGCAAGTAGAACATTTATTAAGAGTAATATCACATGGAGGAATCAACGCTTGCTTAGACATGAAAATCAGCTTATTGAAATTAACATGTCCTAACCTTGAATGCCACAAATAAAATAAATCCACACCAATGTCATTATCAACATTCAAACAAACATTATCATCCAATATAAACTTCTCTCTCATAGAGAGTTTAAACAACCCATTACTTAAGTAACAACGACCTACAAATGTAGCACCTCTAGTAATTATACATCTATTACTATTCAGGGTAGGACCGGACACAAGATTCCTACTAATCTCCGGAGCATACAACACATCCCTAAGAATGATTGCATTCCCCGAACTATACATTAGCTCCACTCACTAGTAGAAAAAATCAAATAGGCACCCCCCTTTTAGCACCGGTTCTTGAAAATCGGTGCCAAAAGAAATGGGCGGGATAGGAAAATAGGGAGTTGGCATCGGTTCCAACCAAAACCGATGCCAACTCATTTAATTAGCACCGGTTCAAACCGGTGCCAACCTTAAAAAAAAAAAAAAAAAGCAATAGAGTTGGCACCGGTTCGCCTTAAACCGGTGCCAACTATAGTAATTAGCACTGGTTTGAACCGGTGCCATTTAAAAAAAAAAACCGGTTTAAGACGCGTCTTCTTCTTCAATTCATTTCCTTGCTCTTTCCTCTTCGTTCTCATCTAATCTGCCTCTCTCTCTCCTCCGTTGTAGCGTACTCGAATTTCTCCATTGAAGGGGCTTCTGAGCTTTCCTAGCACTCCGTCTCTCTCCTTCGATCTCCTTCTCCATAACCGTCACTTTCCCTTTCCTTTCTTCTCTCTTTCGATCTCCTTCTCCTTCTCCTTCTCTCTTTCTACAATATTGGAGGTTAGGGTTTCTGGGTGTGTCTACTTGAATCAATCCGATGTGCGTGCGTCTTCAACAACAAGAAATTCGAATCAATTTCGAACCAAAAATCAGAAATTCGAGGTTAGGGTTTCTGGGTTTTTTTCTTGGATTTGCTCCTCTTCTCTTCTTTATTCCTGCATTTTTTTTTCCTTATTTTGTATTATTAATCTATCATAATCTTATATTTCTGTCAAATTAATATTTTTTAAAATTGATCATAAAATTCTACATTTGATAATGCTTGGCAACATTTAAATTTCAATTTGAAACTATTAATTAAGAATTATTCTTGTGTAGAAATATTAGGGTTGATGTTAAAAATTAATCCCAATTTCAGCTCTAGAAATGAAGTATTGGGGTGGAAGAAGAAAAGGAGGTGTTTGTTTGGCTTCTTCATCACAGAATTCAAGTAATGATGTTGCACGAAAAAGGTTTTTTGTTTTATTTCCTTATCTATGTCTTAGAGTTTCTGGTAGCACCGTAGCAGCACCTCGGTCGTTATAAATAGGATTTTGAAGACTTAAAATAAATGTTGGTACTTGGTACCATATAGATACTATATAGTTCTATTGATTGCAGAGTTTATCTTGGGATTAGTATGGGTAACTACTCTGTTTCTCCTGTTTTTGCTGTTTGAAATTTGCTGTGGTAATATGAATTTAGATGTCAATTTGCATAAAATTTCTAAGAACACAGGATACGATAATTTAGCTAAAGTTGAGGTTGAAGATATTGAAAACGAAGTAAATTCTGTTATTATTTGCTACTTCCTTGAGGCTAATCTTCTAAATGTGTTTGAAAATTATATTAAATGCATATGGGTAGATGGGGGAGTTGCAATCTTGGCAACTTTCTTCTTTCAAGAGAGAATTATTTTTCGTGAATTAAATCTTTGATAGAATCATTAAATCATATAACTGATTTGTTGTAGGTTTAATGTTTTGCAAAGTTGGTTTTAATTAACTATGAACTTTGGTATCTATGATGCAAATCATACTTCACATATCGCATTAATGAAATGATCAACAATATACCCTTGATAATCTGATATACCAACTCAGGATTATTAACTTTTATTTCCTCTTTAATAACTACAGGTGTAGGTTAAATCAATTGTTATATGATTTCTACTCGTTAATCCGCATGTTTCAATATAAATGCCTCAAATTGACTTTTACCCTCAAATTGATTTCTACAAGAATTGGTGTTTGTTTTTCTTGCTGGCCTGGTTTTCTGTCTGTTTCTTCTCTGTGTGCCTTGCTGAATTCTGGATTTGGCGTGTGTTCTGGAGTCTGTTCAGCTTTGATTCATGCCCTGAGTCTGTCTTTTCTATCTGCTGGGTTGAGTTGATGTTTCTCTAGCTCTTGTTTTGTCTATTGTGTGCTGCTGCAGGCTGTGTTCTATTGTGATGCTGAGCTAGTCAGTGTGCTTGGGTTGTTTGACTGTTCCTGTGCCTGCTCAGAGCTTCTATTTTTTCTGCTGGGTTTTAATTGGACATTAATTATTTGTTGGATCAATGATTTTAGTTCTATGTTATTGTTGTTTCTGGTTGACTGCTAGCTTATCAGGTAAAGTGGCTTATTTGATAAAGTCATAGACTTGTAGTGGTTGTACTCAACCTGAGATCGAGTCAGACTACATCATTATCTAGAGTTAATGGGTATTTGCTGTTATGTTTAGCTAGATGATGGTGTGCTTTTTATTCTACTATTTCGTAAAATATTAGTTTTATTGAATTGATAGTATTTGGCTTTTGTTTGATTTTTGGATATTTGGCTAATGATTAGATATTGTTGATCATTTAATTGCTTATTGTTGTTGTTTGTTTTTTATTACAGGTCCTGCCCTTTTGGTTGATGTACCAAGGGATAGCAACATAACTGGTACCCCTCCTAAAATTCTGTTTGGTCACCTTCTCGTTTTGTGCCTTTAAAAGTGTGCAAGGTTAACTTAAGAGTTTTCATTTCTCTGATGAGCTGGCTACTTGGCATTAGAAAAATTTAGGGGAAAAAAAGTTATTAGAATAATGGTTTCACTTGTATCCCTAAAGTGTTGTCACTGAATAATAGACTAACAACACCATATATACCTATTTTTTTTTTCATAGCGGATGTAATGAAGTCACTACACATTATGATTTTTGATATGGGAGTTGTAATATTACACCCTAATAAGCGTAGGCGGTTTGTTCAGGTTGTTTGAAAATAATGTGAAGATAAAGTATGGATTTTGATCTAAAATAAGGCTAGTCATAATGGCCTACAACATAATACAAGTATTAAAGCAAGACAGCAACGGGTAGGAAGCTTTGATTCTCGCTCATTGATCATCACTCACTAAGAGCTTTATTTTGAAATTATAGCACTCTTCTAGCAAACACAAGCCTAGAAAACACAAGCCTCATTCTAGCTTATTACAAACTCTTTCCCTTGTCAAATTATTGCCCGTAAGCTCATCAACAACTCTCTTCCCTACCCTAACCCTTTCCTTTTTGCCTTTTTCGCCTAGTGGACCAACCTTAACAGTGGCTGAAAGTACAAGACGAGCAATAGTCGATGTGCAAGATCCAAGTACCAACTAAGTGTACCCGTTTTGTCTATTGTGTGTTGCTGCAGGCTGTGTTCTACTGTGATGCTGAGCTAGTCAGTGTGCGGGGGTTGTTTGACTGTTCCTGTGCCTGCTCAGAGCTTCTGTTTTTTCTGTCCCTGCTGGTTTGCTATGGTTTGTCTTATAACTTGAAACTATCTTATAATATTTCTTACTATTGTTCATCTGGCTTTAGGTTAGAGAATCGCCTCTCAAAGCATAATAAGTTTCTGCATCATATGCGATTTGAACTTAAGGATCTAGTGCCACCCATGATCATTTCTGGAAATCAGTTTATAATGATCAGTCAACACCAAGTAGCTGCAAGGGAATACTTGGAAGCGCATAAACAAATGCCAAATTCCCCGCTGACCAATCTGTGTGTCGGTATGTTTTATGTAATTTTATCCGAATCTGATTAATGTGAGTGTGCTGGTGTTGATTCTCCATTTAACTGATGCATCTTACTTTGCAGGGACTGCCTTAATCAATTTAGCCCTTGGACATAGACTTCAAAACAAGCATCAGTGTGTTGCACAAGGCTTAGCTTTCCTTTACAACAATCTGCGACTTTATGAAAATAGCCAGGTAAGCTGGTGTTGTTAAATAAGAAAACTTGTTCAGGGATGAAGTTTGAAAAGTTGACAAGTCATTTACATTAATAAATATTATCTGATTGCCTAATATTAATGTTTTTTCTAAGTTTGTAATACCAATTTAATAAATAAGTCTTTTACTTTGTGTGCATAATCTTAAAGTCTCTCATATGAGACTGTAGTACTAATCCAAGTCATTTCAGGAAGCCTTATATAATATAGCTCGTGCATTCCACCACGCAGGACTTCTCACATTTCAGGAAGTCTTTTTGGGCTGCTGTTTTTTGTTTTGTTCTCCGTAATTTTGGCTTTGTGTTAGGTGTTGTCCCGGTCCCTGTTTTAAGTGTAATGCAAGAAAGGTCGATCAAAGATAATTATTTAATTTTTTTTGGACAAAAATTGTAATATTACAGGCTTTATAGCCTTTTTTTAATGAAAATATGTAAGTTTATATATATGTTAATGTTTCTATATCAATTTTAGTGAAAAAAATGCAAAAAAAAAAAAAAAAAAAAAAAAAATATTTTTTTGGGGTATATCTGGCACCGGTTTTAGGCAAGAACCGGTGCCTAAAGTGGAGTTTTTCGCACCGGTTCTTGCCTAAAACCGGTGTCATAGTGTTGATAATAAGGAAAAAAAAATCGTGCGTTTGAAGTTGGCACCGGTTAACCGGTGCCAAAGCCTTTAGTTGGCACCGGTTAACCGGTGCCAAAGCCTTTAGTTGGCACCGGTTAACCGGTGCCAAAGCCTTTAGTTGGCACCGGTTAACCGGTGCCAAAGCCTTTAGTTGGCACCGGTTTTGAACCGGTGCCAAATTTTTGAGGATTTGGCATCTCTCAAATCCCCAACGGTTCAAAACCGGTGCCTTAGGGGGGGTTTAAACCGGTGCCAAATTACCTTTTTCGTCTAGTGACTTGTCTTCTTCCAAGGACCTTGATGGTTGAGTTATTCCCCATAAAGAGGTTTTCTCCATTACCAACCTTGTGAAAGGTTTTGAACCAATGTTTCATCTTGCATTCGTGCTTAGAAGCCCCCGAATCAATCCACCATGAGTCATCATCCTGCACCATACAAATGTTAGGATCCGTTGCATTTAAATCCAAACCAGAATTAAATTCAACCTCATGTAAAGAATTACCTTTAGTGGATGGGACCTTGCTATCAAAAGCATGGCCGTCCTTGGCTTTCTCCATTTTCTTTTTGAAAATGTAGCAGTCCTTCTTGCGGGTGTCCAACCTTACCGCATTCCCAACAAGCGAACTTGTTGTTATTCATTTTCTTTTTGGACTTGCCTTTGGAAGAATTGTTATTCTTCCTTTTACCACTAGTTGAAGCACTAGATTTTCCTTCCTCCACCACATTAATGGTAGATGTGCTAGGATTCCCATCCTTAGCACTTTCCATGGCTATTATCCCCTCTTCAACTTGAAGATGGGTAGCCAATTCAGACAAAAGATATTTCTTCTTTCTTATGTTTCAATTCATGTTTCACATCTTTCCAACTAGAGGGCAGCTTATCAATGATACTTGAAACTACAAGCAATTCATCCATACTAATACTATGTTGTTTCAAGTTACCATAGATACGTTGTACTTCGTGGAATTGGTCCATAATAGACCGACTATCAACAAATTTAAAATTGTTAAAATTACTTACAAGAAACTTTTTGCTAGATGCGTCTTTCGACATGTACTTACTCTCCAAAGACTCCCAAAGTTCTTTAGCAGATTCAACATTTTGATACACATCAACCAAATCATCTTCCATACCATTCAAGATATGACCACGACAAATAAAATCATTGTTATCCCATTTCGACCTCTCCCGAACGTTTTCCAAAGTTTCATTCTCATGTTCAATAGGCATTGGAGTATTAATTACATAGGACATTCAACGAAGTAAGAAGAAAATACATCTTCTTCTTCCAACGTCGAAACTCCACACCATCAAACTTCTTAAGTTTGACAAAATTAGTGGTTAACTCTTTCACACTAGACATGCTTAAAAATTTAATCTCTTTAGATTATAAGGTTTTTTAGTATAAAACAAATACAAATTTGTGGGAACAAAACCTAAATCACAATTCTATTACAACCAAATTGAATACAATCAATAGAAAATATACCAAGCACTTCTAATAGTTTGATAAAACAAATTACAGAAATATCAAACTTAATGCACTAGAATGAAAGATATAATACTTGCCTCACTTCCAAGCCTTTCAACCGAACATGAACATGAGAATATGAATGACCACGTGAGTCTCAAACCTTGATACTTCATCTTAGGCGTATGAAACACTTTCCTAAAGAGATTAATTTCCCCCACAACGGTGCTTGGGTTTATGCCGGAAATTCTCTTTGAGATACAAAAGGCGACACTTCATTCTTAGCACTTAGAGACGAAATTAGATGATAAATACACAAAGATTGGACTAAATTGATAGAGGTTTTCAACAAGAGTTTGCAAGATTCTTGAGGGAAAATGTGGAGAGAACAAACTTGGAGAGTAAAAACTGAATTATTCATTAGTAAAAACAAATAACATCTTTTAATAAAGAAATAACCGCACGAAAACGGCAAACGAGGGAAGCAGCGCGGGCGCGACTCACGGCGGCGCGGGCGCGCCTCCCCAATTCTGCCAAAATCTTGCCTCGATCTAGAACTCTTGCGCGATTTTGTCGCACTTCCAGCACAGGTCGAGCCTACTTGGCGCGGGCGCGCCACTTTGAAATCGAAATTTCTTCACTGGATCCAGAAAATTAGCGCGATTTTATCACGCCTGATTCTTGGGTCGCGCCCTAAACACGGGTCGCGCAATCCTTACAGATTCATATACTCTAAATTACTAACAGATTTCATCCAAAAAAATTAGTAGGTGGGCATTGTGCAATGAAAAGGGGCCACACTCACACCACTCCCCTAAGCCCAACTTAGATGAAATGCCCAAACATTGGGTAAAGCTAGTTCATTTTAGTAAAAAATTTCCATACTACTTTATTCATTACAAATTTACTTCCTCAAAATAAAATAAAAAAATAAAATAAAAATTCTTACAAATTTACAATCACCTATTTTATACTTCCTCTGTTTTACAAGAATTGCAACACTTCTCACTTCACACATATCAATGTTATATTTCAATCACTTATATATTAAACTATCAATAAATAAGAATTACGTAGTATAAATTTTTTTATCATACATACTCCCTCAATACTCTCTTCATTACTTTTAATCTTTACATTTGACTTTTATGCTTGACTTATCAAAACTTCTTTTACTATAATTTCACTCATCATATTGAGTATATATGTGATAAAAAATGTGCAATGAAAACTGCAAAATTAAAAGTGTAAAGAATAAAAATAAATGGAAGGAGTAGCATTTTGCAATTTTAATAATACTCCGTAGTATTTAAATTGAAATGATTACCAGACAAACCACCGACTATAATTATTCCCAATTCCCATACATAAATCCAAAATCACCCATCATATCTACATTCATTTTCTCATTTATGTAAAAGCTCGGACAAGCATCAACTTGTTATTCTTTGTATATCAATATTCAATAATTATACAAGCTAGTTATTAGACTTATAATAACTAACTATGACAGCAAAATCATGCAATTACGTTCCTATTAAAAAAATAAAAAAAAATCACACTAAACTCATTACACTCTTATACATCGATAGTTGGAAATGAAGGAAATCATGGGCTGGGCTGAGGCCCACTAGGCCCAACAAAACCACGGGCCTCTTGCAAACTCTTTGCATGTTCATCTTTTATCTTACCCCACTCATGCACACTTAGATGAAGTTGAGTATGCGCAATCAAGAAATGAACGGCTTGGATTGGAGTCAAAATGTCAACTACACTTTTAAGCGTTTACAGCCGTAGATCATCCGCTTTCCTCAAAATATCCTCTAACCCATGCTCCTTTGGTGCTAGAGCCGAGTGAACTCGGTCTTTTACTGAGTCAACTCGGTCTTTTACTGAGTCAGATTCCCCAGTTGCTGACAGCATCCCGCTTTAACTCGGTGTAGTTCTCTGAGAGCTCAACCATGGATGAGTCAGCCATTGTTTCTTGGTGTGAAGCTAGAATCTCGGTCAACTTTCTCTCTTGGTGAATGGTCTGCTTTTGTAACTCGTCAACTCGGACGAGTTGACTCATTGAAAGGTTACCAGATCGTCCGAGTTGACCCCACTCAGTAACTCACTGAGTCGAGCCTCGAACTGTAGCCCGGCCTTAGAGTATAGCAAGTGCACGGCCGTGGTGGGCCTCCACCCCCCGACCCAAAGTAAGGCGACCTCGAGTTTGGATAGCCAGTCGGGGTTTAAGACGAGGAGGACGTCCTTCTTGATCGACTCGGACCGGGCCCGGTAGAACTCCTCGTAGTGAGTCATGACTCGGTCGACGAGTTCTTTGAGGTGCTGAGTCGACTCGGTGGGGGACTGAGTCGACTCAGAGTGGGTTTTGACCATGGACTTGAGCTCCTCCAGGTCCCACTCTTGGACCTGGAGCCAGTCCAAGAAGAACTTGTTGAAAGGTGTAGGTTTAGACTCAGACCTAGACCCACACTCAAATTCTGACTCGAACTTGCATTTTGGCATGTTAGACTTAGGCCCTGGCTCGAGAGAGGATACGGGTGAGTTTGAGCTGGATGATTGCATAATTGTTGCTTTCAAAGTAATGTGACCAATGATCAAAAGAAAGGACGATGCCTAGCTTATATGCGCTAATAAGCTTGGTAGCTATGATACGGATCAATAGAAGAGCTTAGTTGATGATACGGATCAATAGAAGAGTTACGAATGAACAATATTAGTTGCACCATAGGGTATGTAGCATAAAGTATGAACCAAAACTGCATGAGTCGTTACTTGTTAGACAACTACTTATATTGTACTATGACAGTGTAAAGTGGCATACTGCACTTACATTGAACTCAAAAACTCTCAAAGTCGGCTACCAAAATTTTTTAAAAAAGGAAGTTAATCTGCGCCGTCATTGTTTTGAGGAGACTTCTTATTTATTTTAGAATAATTTGGTGTAAAATCGTAAGGACTAAGAAACTAAGGAAGCAATTATCCAAGTGAGATTAGAAGGTCTTTGAGTCATGGTAGTCATCAGATTTTTTGTAAGTAACGTATGGATACAAATGTACGTAAATGGCTAAATGCTTTGAAATAAGTACTAGTACAACACATAAATGTATTTTATAACACACGTTTACAAAAGTCTCAGATGTTTTATTCTTACTTTATTTGATAAAAAAAATTGTTAAATCTAACCACAAATTCTTTATTTTTGATGGAACTATGGAATATGATTAAAAAATTTAAATTTTGGGATGATGGCTAAAAAGTGAGATAAATTTCGCTAATATTACTGTGTTTACCTAAAAAGAAAATTATACAACACAATTATCGATAATATATACACTGGCATAAGATTGCTATAAAATATTACTGTATTTTATATTATTTGTGACTCTTATTACTACACTGACATAGCATAAGACTACTGCTACAATATATTGTTTATAGTAATTTTATTGTGTTTATTATCCAGTATCCTTACTTGGATTCTTATAATACTAACTAGCAGAATAAGCTATGACATTGTCAGTCATTAATAATTTAGAACGAATACTAGGTATATTGTCAAACACTCACAATATACAATGGTTAACATCAGTTTGATCCTTTTTAATTAGCCAAATAATTTACTATTTATAAAGTGTTAATGATACGCAAAATCCTTTGTGATTTAATTACCAAAATAATAATAACGCTTGATGATCTAGAACATGTTATTACACTACTAGAAAAATGTCAATTTTCGACAGATAAGTTCCGACAGACACAAAAATCCGTCGGAAAAACGAATATTCCGATGGATTTAAATTCCGTCGGAAATTTCCGACGAATTTAGATTTTCCGTCGGAAGTTTCAGACGGAATTTAAATCCATCGGAAAATACTTAGTTTCCGACAGATTTTCCGTCGAAAAATAATTAATTTCCGATGGATTTCAAATCCGTAGGAGATTTACGACGGAATTTAAACCTATTCCAACGGATTTCCAACAGAATTTAAATCCATCGGAAAATACTTAGTTTCCGACGGATTTCCCGTCGAAAAATAATTAATTTCCGACGGATTTCAAATCCGTAGGAGATTTCCGACGGAATTTAAACCCATTCCGACGAATTTATTTATATAAAAAAAAAACCTAATGTCACTGGAACTAACCCCCTCCCCCTTTCATTTCTCATTTCTCTTTCTCTCTCCTCTTCCCCTTCTCTCTTCCGCCTCCTTCTACTCTCTTCTCTCTCCTCTTCTCTGATTCTCTCTTCTCTCCTCTTCTCCTTCATCTCTTCTCTCGTCCTCTTCTCTCTGCAGATCTATTTCTCCTTCTTCTTTCTCTCTGATCTATTTCTCCTTCTTCTTTCTGTCCGATCTCTTTCTTTCGCCTCTTCTCGTTCTTTCAATGTTGGATCGAGCACCGTCAAGCATCGTGGGAGCACCGTCAAGCACCGTCGTCCACCGTCAAGCACCGTAGAAGGCCGAAAATATAGGTTAAATATTGGTTAGTTTGTAGATCTAGTTTTATTTTTCACAAAGTTTATGATTATAATTATTTTTTTGATGAAATTGTAATGTAAGTTTATAAATTTTGTAATGTAAGTTTGTAGATCTGGTTTTTTCGGATTTTTGGACTATGTAATGTATAAATTGTTTTTTTTCGATTTTTTTCGTTTTTGTTTCGATTTGTTTGTTATGATTTGGGTGTTTTGAATTTTTATTCGTTTTTTTCGATTTTTTTTTTTTTTTTTCGTTTTTCTAGGTGGGTGGATTAGGGGGTTGGTTAGGTGGGGTGGTGGTGGCTCGACAGGGTGGGGTAGGATGGGGGTCTGGTTTGGTCAGGGTTGGGTGGGTGGGTGTGGTGGGGTGTTTGGTGTGGATGGGTTGGAGGTGGTTAGGCGTGGTGGTTTTTTTTTTGTTTTTCTAGGTGGGTGGGTTATGATTTGGGTTAGGGGTTGGTTAGGTGGGGAAGTGGTGGCTCGACAGGGTGGGTTAGGGTGGTTGGGGCTGGTGGTGTTGTGGGTTCTTTTTTTTATTTTTTTTAAGCAGCTTCCGACGGAAATTCTGTCAAAATTTTCTGGCGGAATAGTATCCGTCGGAAATTTCCATCGGAGAAGTGTTTCCGACGGAATTTCAGTGAGAAAATGTCGTTTTTTCTACAAAAGGTTTTCCGACAACCGGTTCCGACGGAAATTTCGTCGAAAACGGGTTTTCCGACAGTATTCAGGGTGATTCCGACGGAATTTTTCCGTCGAAAATGACCTGTTTTCTAGTAGTGTTAGGCAATGTATCATTTGTTAAGAGGTCTCACTGTGATGAACTGATGAACAAACTACTTTCCTTAAATTTGATTACACTACAAGAAATGGGCCGATTTCCGACGGACTGTTTCCGACGGACACGTACTTCCGTCGGAAAAATCAGAAATTCCGACGGATTTTTTTTCCATCGGAAATTTCCGACGGATTTTCAACGGAATTTAAAAATTCGTCGGAAATTTCCGACGGAATAAAAATCCGTCGGATATATTCCGTCGGAAAGTTAACTTTCCAACGGAATTAAAATCCGTCGAAAATTCCCGACGGAATATTTAGTCGGAAATACCATATATTCCGACGGATTTTTATTCCGTTGGAATCTAATTTAAAAAAAAAAAAGGAAACCCTAACTTAAAACACGAAATACGCCTCTTTCTTTCCCATTTCTCCTTCTCTTTCTTTCTCCTCTCCTATTCTCTTCTCCTTCCTCTTCGTCCTCTCTTCTCTTTCCTCTGTCCTCCTTTCTTCTCTTTCTTCTTCTCCTTCCTCGTCTCTTCTCTGTCCTTCTCCCTCTTCGCCCTCCTTCTCCCTCCTCGTCTCTTCTCTGTCCTTCTCCCTCCTTGTCCTCTCCTTCTCACCCAAAACCACCATAACCGACACCAACAACAACAACTCCTTTTCCCTCCTCGTCCTCTCGTTCTCCTTCTCACCCAAAACCACCAACACCGACACCAACAACAACTCCTTCTCCCTCCTTGTCCTCCTTCTCACCCAAAGCCACTAATACAGACACTAACAACAATAAATTTGCCAAAAACAAAGGTTTTCAAGTCAAATTCGACCATGAAAACTGTAGACTAGAGTTTTCATGGACGAATTTGTCCTCGTAAACCCAATTTTGCAGTTTTGTGTGGTCGAATTAAGGTATGTTTCTTTTTTTTCTGATATTTTTTTGTTATTTAATTATTTTTTTAAATAATATATACGGTTGTGGTGGGTGGTGTGGCTGCTAGTTCGGTGTTGGTGGTTCGTATGCTCCAATTTGTATAGAATACGATTTTTTTGTTCCGATTTGTATTCTAATCTGTATTTTGTTTCAATTTGTATAGATCTGTTTTTTTTTTTCAATATTTTTCGTTTTTTTTGTTTTTTTGTTCCGAATTGTATTCGGAAAAATGAATTAGTGGAATGGTGGTGGTGGGTGGTGTGGGAAAAGGGGTTGGAAGTGGTGGTGGTGGGTTGGGGTTACGGTGGTACGTTTTGGTGGGTGGGGGTGGTGGGTTAGGAGGTGGCGGTGGGGTGGGTTGCGGTGGTGAGCAGGGGTGTGGGCAGTGGTGGATCTGGGAGGGGTAAGGGTTAGGGGTGGGGCTGTTTTTTTTTTTTTTTTATTGACTTTTCCGACGGAAATTTCCGTCGGAATATAACTCTTTCGACGGAAATTTCCGTCGGAATATAACTCTTCCGACGGAAATTTCCGTCGGAATATACCTCTTCCCACCGAAATTTCCGTCGGAAACCTCTCCAACTCCGACGGAAATTTCCATCGAAAAATTGCAACAGAATTTCAATTAAAGTAAAAAAAGCGCCGACAGAAATAAATCCGTCAGAAATTCCGTCGGAAACTAGCCTTTCGACGGAAATTCTGTCGAAAAAGGTTGAATTTCCTACAAAGGGTTTTGCGACAGACTGATTCCGACGGAATTCCGTCGGAAGAGCGTTTTCCGACGGAATTTCTGATGTTTCCGATGGATTTTTTCCGTCGGAATTAAGCTGTTTTCTTGTAGTGTTAACAGAAACAATTTCAACAACAGTTTTGTTAGGATAATCAAGATATATATGTTTGGATGATTGTTTCCTTAATTATAGGAGATGATTGATCATGTATATAAATTGATCGATCAATGATATCCAAGACAAGCTCTAAGCCTTTACCTAAGTATTAGAGCCAGATCCACAATTGAGACTTTTACTCTATGCCACATTGAATCTGATCATGTGAGGGGTGTGAAGATCCATGAAAATATCACATGTAGCCGGATTAAAAGAAGGATTTTACATGTAAAAGGGAGTGTCGAGGCATAGCATTTCCAAACAACACATGTAATTTGTTCCACATAGATGAAAGAGTTAAATTAAACAAAGCAAGGGGTGTATGTATAGGTAATTAGGTATGGCTTCTTGTGTGTATATGTTGATTGAAAAGTCATGATGACTTATATTTATAGGTGAAGATAGAGCTTGAAAGTGATGACTAGAATATTCTAGAATTCCCTTGATTATTCTTGTAGTCATAATGTTCTGAAATTTAGTTCTACATAATTGAAAAGCAATACTTATAATGTTACATGTATTCGACAGTTTCTAAAACACGCATAAATATAAAAATACAAGCACAAATTAAGTTTTACTAGTGAACCTTTTCGATCAATGTCAGAAAATTAAACTTAGAAGATCGTTGATAACTTACTTATAGACAAGTAAATGAAGATTCGACAAAATTACAAATCCTACAATATTAGAATCCATACATTACTAATTTACTATATACCCTTTTTTTTTTTTTTAAGGTAAGAAAAATAGGACATTAGGAGACCCTCCTCACAAGCTGAGGGAAACTCCTAATACATCAAAGGAGAGAATAGTAGAAAGACTAGAATTATTACAAGGAGTAATGTTCATACTATCACTAACTAGATGACCTACATTACTTAATTATTCAAATACAGTCATATAAGTACCGAAGAAAATACATACCTGTATACTACATGGCTACCTTAATATCCACATACATATCTTATAATAATGCTAAATAGGAGTAACTAACAAGTTAGTTGTTCTAATTATCCTTTATAAATCGGAGTACTAATAATACTAATAATATAATTAAAAAGAATGACATTAACTAATTAAGTTGAATTATTGGATATGGTTAATGTTGTTGTTGGTCAGCATCTTTGTCCTTCCCCCATTCACGAACTCTCAAGTGAAGCTCAGCAGCAGCAATCAAAAAATCAACGGCTTGGATTGGACTTAATACTTCCACCACTTTCTTAAGCGTTTTCATCCGTAGATCATTAGCCTTCCTAAATATCTCCTTTAATTTATCCTCTTTATGCCCTAGTGTCAACTCAACTCGCTTCTTAATTGACACAGTCCCAACTCGATCCCGAGCTTTCGACTCGGTAGCCTCTCGTGAGAGCTCAACCATTGAGGAGTCAGCCATGGTCTCTTGAAAAGAAGCTAGCTTTTCACTTAACTCTCTCTCTTCCTTGATTGTATTCATCTGCAACTCGTCGACTCGGGTGAGTTGACTCGGTGAAAGCCATCCCAAATCACAAGTTTTTGACGACCCGTCGAGCAACTTACTAAGTCCGGACTTGACGTGTAACCCTGCAATGGTGTATAATAAGTGAAATGTCGTACTAGGTCTGCACCCACCAATCCAAAGGAAGGCATGCTCCAGGAGAGACCTCCATGCAGGGGTTATCATGCAGAATATGTTCTGCTTCGCTAACTCGGACTTGACTCGGTAGTAGTTTTCATAGTGACATATGACTATACTTACGAGTCCTTGTAGATTCTGAGTCAACTCGGCCGAGGACTGAGTTGACTCGGTGTAGGCCTTTGCAGCCAACTTGAGCTCCTCGAGGTCTCGTTGTTGCTCAAGGAACAATGTCTCAAATACCCCGCCACGGGACTCTAGCCCGCCTTTGCGGCTACCGCCACCCTCGGCAATATCATGTTCATGTTGAATTCTCCTTGTATGAGCTCTTTCTTTGTTCTTACCCCACGTATGAACCTTGAGATGGAGCTGAGCTGCAGGAATAAAAAGTTGAACGGCTTGGATTGGACTTAAGATTTGCACCAAGTTTTTGAGTGTTTTAAGCCGTAGATCATCCGCCTTGCCAAATATCTCCCCTAAATTTCCATGACCATACACCTCGGTCATCATCGAGTCATCAGACGACGACTTGGTGGAAGACTCCATTGGAGAAATAGGCTCAGCAAGAGACCGAGTCAATTCGTTCTCTGCCTGGATGGTGAGCCTTTGCAACTCGTCAACTCGGACGAGTTGACTAGGCAAGATGTCCTTAAACTGCCTCATGCCCACCCCCTTGAGCAACTCGCTGACTTCAACCCCGAGTTGCACCTCGGGGTTGAAGTCTAGCAAGTGAAAAGCAATACTAGGTCTCCACCCGCCAACCCAAAGGAAGGCGTCCTCAAGGTAGGAAGGCCAAACATGGGATAACAAGAGGAGAACTTGTACGCTATCCTTGATTAAGTCGGACTCGACTCGGTAGTGATTCTCGTAGTGAGTTATGACTCGGTTAACGAGTTTGGTAAGGTTTGGAGTCCACTCAATATCAGACTCCTTAGTCTTGGACATGAACGCCTTACGGTCTAGCTCTTGAAGCACTAGCAAATCATCAAGTACCTCACTAACCATGGTTGGGATTTATTAGTTTGATGATAAAATTTTTCTTTTTTTTCTTTTCTTTTTATTTTGTTTGGTATGTAGGCTTAATTAATGTATAACGGTACAAGCAATTGATCCAATTTATATAGACATATATTACAATTGAAGGTTGAGGTGGCGAAGTCGTAGTGATTTCGTATCCACCTCATAAACGAACCCCTTGTTAATCTACAAGATAAAACGAGTACATATGCATGCACGATATGTACAAGTACGTGGGTTGGACAAAATTTGTTTTCTTGAATTTTGTTCTTATCCCAACATGTTCCATTAAACTTAATATATTTACTCCGTAACATTTATGTCGCTAAACAAATCTGTAGAACGGATAATATATTATAAGTATGGTATTTCATATTTTACATTGTTTATCATGTAATACTGTAATCCGTAGTATATAATTAAATTAAGTTGAAGTACATGGTACTCAAAGATGAAAGTGCAAATTAAATTGGCAAGTGGGTCTATAGAGTGCGTTGTCGATATAAATTGCTTATATGGTCATTGATCAACGTGAGTGATGAGGCGGCGGTATTTTAAGGAGCTTCAAGATAATATATCTTCCATGTCTTTGGAAATGAGCATCAGATAGATATACTCAATCCTAGTTTATTATTTTATGCTAGCTTTTAAAGATGACTAAATAACTTTTTTTTATTTTCAAATAAAATTCTCGCATTATCAGTCTTATTTAAAAACGAAGGGAGTAAATATAATTTTATACTCGTAGTATATAACTCCCTTGTTTTGTTATCATATTCGATACATGTTCGTCCATTTATTTGTAATTATTGACTAAAACGATCTATAAAAAAGACATATTACCTTAAAAAAATCAGGCAATATAGAACTGAGATACACATAATATAAATATCCTTGTGTCTCTTGATATGTGAGCGATGTGACGTAACATTTTATATAGTATTATTTGTAACAACACAAGATATTTATGTAAGATAGAAATTTCACATGGCTTCACTAATTCACCCTCTGTCCCTCTCTTATCTTAGCTACACGAATAACAAGTCCTAACGTTTATTCATCATGGGTGACGGCCTGACGGGTGTTGTATCATTATTTATGCTTCACACCCAATTACTATTTATTAATAATGCAAGCTTTTTTATCTTCTATTTTCTCTGTTTACTTTGCTTTATTTTTACGATTATTAATTATAAAAAAAGAGGAGGGGGGTTGTACAAGTAGTGTTGTAGTGGAGAGAAAGAAGTCTAATTAAAATCGAGTAAATTATTATTATAGCCAAGATAAAACCTTACATTGTATGTCCATTAAATAACAATATCACTCCATATATTGATCGTCATAGAAAAAACCAAGAATCAAAGATAATTTCTCACTTTGAACAACAATACACTTTATTTAGTTAGTTACATACGATTTTAAGTTAGTCTACCCTAATAAAAGCAACAAATTTAACCAATCAACGACAATCCCCAAGCCCCTTCCAAAATTTAAACATTTTTAACGAGTCCATTGGAGTACTCTATGATACATCATGATATATATATATATACATCATCATAAACAATAAAAAAAAATTACACTATGATACATACCACCATAGAAAAACAAAGAAAGCCACTTGACATTTTTAAACATAAATATTTATTAAGTTAGAAATATACGAGTCTGAGCCGGGTTACCCTACCTTAATCTAACATAACCACATTAACTCATCAACAACCCGACCCATCCCTATACACACATACACACTTCTCCTCCTAATAGGCTAATACTATTATAATGTGTATAAGACCAACTAAGTTTTCATTGCAATGACCAGTGCACCAGCTTTATCCTTCTTCTTACCCCATTCATGAAGCCTAAGTTGAAGTCCAGCAGCAGCAATCAAGAAATGAACGGCTTGGATTGGATTTAATATACCCACCACATTACTAAGCGTTTTCATCCGTAGATCATCCGCCTTCTCAAATATCTCCTTCAACTTATCCTCTTTCGTCACTAGTGTCGACTCAACTCGCTCATCATCCGACTCACTCGACCCCACCACACCCAAAAGCCGAACTATCGACGAGTCGGCCACCGTCTCTTGTACCGCAGCCATCACCTCAGTCAACTCCCTCTCATCCTTAACCGTCTTCATCTGCAACTCATTGACTTGGGCGAGTTGACTCTCTGAGAGGTCAGCCAAGTCGCCGGTCCTTAACCCATCTAGCAACTTAGTGAGTCCGGCGTCGAGTTGTAATCCGACGATGGTGTATAATAGGTGAAATGCCGTCGACGGTCTCCACCCGCCGATCCATAGGAAGGCATGCTCAAGGAGAGACCTCCATGAAGGGGTCATCATGTGGAGTACGTTCTGTTTTACGGACTCGGACTTGACTCGGTAGTAATGCTCGTAGTTACTCAACACCCGCCGAACTAGTCGGCGGAGGTTTTGATTCGTCTCGTGTATAGACCGAGTTGTCTCCGTGTACGCCACCGCGGCGGACTGGAGCTCAAGAAGGTCCGCCTCCTTCTGGCGGAGCCATATCTTGAAGAACCCTCCGAAAATATTATCGGAGGGTTCGGTATCGCCATTACTCTTATTGGAATCGTGGGCGTGAAGTTTTCTTGTATGAGCGTCCCATTTGTTCTTACCCCACGCTTCAACCTTGAGGTGAAGCTGAGCGGCAGGAATAAATAATTGGACGGCTTGGATTGGACTTAAGATTTTTACAAACTGTTTTAGTGTTTCCAGCCGTAGATCATCCGCCTTGCTGAAGATTTCCCCTAACTCATGATGATCATTATTGGCGGTGGGGGCGGTGGCGCTATTTTTCTCCGCCATCACTAAATCAGACTCAATATCTTCGCCCGCCTGAGCATCAGTGTCGGCGAGAGAATGAGTAAGTTCGGCCTCCTCTCGCATAGTGTACCTCTGGAGCTCGCCGACTCGAATAAACTGACTCGGCGAGATATCCTTAAACCCGGATATGTTTACCCCGCTAAGCAACTTACCGAGTCCAACCCCAAGTTTTAACTCGGGGTTGAAGTCGAGCAGGTGGAAAGCCATACTAGGCCTCCACCCGCCGACCCAAAGAAAAGGGTCCTCCAAGTGGGAAGGCCACTCAGGGGACACAAAGAGTAGAACTCGTACATTACCCTTGATCAACTTAGTAATGACTCTATAGTACTTCTCATAGTGAGCTATGATCTGGTCAACTAGTTTCGTGAGGGCTGGGGTCCACTCAGTATCGGAATCTTTAATCACTGCCATAAATTTCTGACGATCTTGCTCTTGAAGACCAAGCAAATCATCTAAAACCTCATTCACTAAGGCTTTGTGTTTAACTTTTCGTTCTATCTTCTTCATGTTTGTTTTTTTTTTTTTTTTTATTATTATTTTTTTTTTTTTTTTTGTAGCACTAAGTATATAAAGATTTTTTTTTTTTTTGTTGGACTAGCTTAATAGTTTTTCAGTAGTACATCAAAGTATATATAATCTCTCTTAGACACTTTACACGATTTTCAAGATGCACCGAATAATTTGCTTCACATTGATAAGTTATTTTAAAATAATTTTGAAATTGTTGTCAGAAGTAGTATGTGGTGGAACAGCAAATCGGGCAAGTGGGAGTTGCTAAATTCAGGAATACAACAACAATGTAGCATTACGCTACCAAATTGCAGCTGCGTGGAGTTTGATCCGTGCTCCATGCAGCGCTGCTTGTCTAGCCAGCTAGACGAGTTGTAGTTGAAGAATACGGTACTTTCTTTGTCTCTATTTATTTGTCTAAATTTGTTTAAAAGTATTATTTTTAAGGTTAAATTAGAAAATAACACTTGTTAAAGACCCGATTTTGATAATAATACCTGTTAAAAAAAGAGTTTTATTATAACACCTCCAAAAATCTCAAAATTTTGGTTTCACCACCCACTAACGAACTTTTGGATGGAAACCGTTAGTGTGGCCCGCCCCCGAAAAGCTAGAATTAAACCCAGATTTGCGGGTGTTAGGGGAGGAGGTTTCTGGGAATATCGGTTACAGGGGAGCAGGTTTCGGGGGTTTTTGGTGTTATGGGAGGAGGTTTCGGGGGTTTTCGTTGTTAGGGGAAGATGTTTAGGGGAATGTCGGTGTTAGGAGAGGAGGTTTGGGGATTGTCGGTGTTAGGTAGGGGAGGGGGTTTAGGGCGGTGTTGGTGTTAGGGGAGGGGATATCGGGCGGTACCGGCGTTAGAGAAGGGGTTGTCGGTGTTAGGGGAGGAGGTTTCTGGGGCTGGCTGGGTGTTAGGAGAATTCCGGCAGCTGGCTTGGCTGGGGCAGGTGGTGGGGCTGGCTGGGTTAGGGGGAGGTTTTTTGTTTTTTTTTTTTTTTCAAATTTTCTTTTTTTTTTTAAACCAATAAACAGCTGACACGTGTACATGGCGGGCCCCACTAACGGTTTTCATCCCAAAGTCCGTTAGTGGGTGGTGAAACCAAAATTTTGGGATTTTTGGAGGTGTTATAATAAAACTTTTTTTTTAACAATGTTATTATTAAAATCGGGGTTTTTAGCAGGTGTTATTTTCTAATCTGACCTATTTTTAATTTCACATTATCAAAGTTTTCTAATTTATTTTTACATTATTTTTATTCAACTATATATAAATTTGAAAAAAAAAAGTACGGAGTAATGAATTTTCAATGGGACAAACGAAAAAGAACATAAATACAATGTACAGTTTATAAATAGAGATATAATGTTAGGCATTAAAAGAGGAGGGCAGAGAGAATAAAAGGAGAGATTAGATAAAAATAAGGAGAAAAAAGAGCAGAAATTATTTAACATTTTTATTTTTTATTTTTTTGCAGTGCGTAAGATAAAGAATAGCGGCGGTTTATTTCTTAAAAAAATAAATATTTATTTAGGATCTTGCTAACGAATGTCTTCGGGGCGTTGGTTAAGCATTTAAAACATTTCCTAAAGTAGTATTAATTTGAGAATACATGTCAAAATCACGAGTCAATCGATGTAATTAACGTTCATTTTAGTTTAATATTTCCACTTTTAGTTATCTTATCTAACGCATCCGAGACATTCGTTAGCTTTTGCCATTTATCTTTGATGATCTTGGAAACGAGCATCATAGAAATAACAGATGTAGTGTGACCCTTCAATTCGGTCCTTCCTTGTAAATGTCAATAGGAAATTTATTTATTGATCAGGTTGCGGTATCATTCTAGCCACCTATTGTACATATCATTAGACCGCCAAACTATTTTCCTCTATATATTGGTTAAAAATTCAATCCAGTGTCATCCTAGTGGCCAATGACGTCACAAGAGTTAAATTGTTAATTACGATTAAACCAATTAAGATAAATATGCATTTATGTATACACTACGTATTGTATACATACTGGATGATGTATGTAATAAATTAAAGTATATTTTATAATAAAAAGAATTATATGGCACATGGTACTACGTAAGTATGTATTTCATGCGGTGAGATATGCAAGTAGATCATTTTATTGGTCTTCATTAATCAACATTATCAACCTATGCAACTGTAGTCTGTTACTGCGCACATTAATTTCTTTTGAATAAATGTCTGCTTCTGCTTCTGCTTCTGTTCAACTTTTACATTTGTCAACTGTATAATATTCCTCTGTAGCTTATGTCAATAATAATATACGGACCGTATTTTATTTGAATTTGTATATAGAGTATATGAGTTTATATTTGAATTTATGTTGTAAGTATTAATCTTAACTTATTTTTTGTCGTTTTTTTTTTCTTTTTTTTTACAAGAAGAGCTAAAAACAAAATAACATGTTATAAATAAAAAAATAATAATAATAAAAAAAAAAAAACAAAACAAAAAAAGCATCATTCGGCGTCCTCAAAGGCAAGAGCCCCTCATAGATTATCAACAGGAGTGATACATATTCAAGTGCAAAGTCATTCTTAATACTGTATAAACCTATAGTCATCCAACTTAGGTGGTTAGAGCTTCCTTTTTAGTTTCAAGGGATCCTTTGGATCGAATATCATCATCTGCCTTTATAGCTCTCTAATAGGGTGGGGGGGGGGATAAAAAAAAAAAGTCATCCAACACAAAGTTTAACGCAGATTTTTTATTGGGATCAACCACCATGAATGCGCTGTACATTCGTTCTTGAATGTGATAGGAAGAGTTAACATTAAGAAAAATGATGCATATCATAGATGAGGCTTAAATTACAATTTTTAATAATCACTGTTCTAAATAGAGTAGGGGTGGAAAGGGGCATGTACAAAGTACATACATATAGCCAGCATGCAGCTATACCAAAGCGCTGGCGCAGATCTGCAACTAATGTTACAACAGAACACCCTAAATTACGATCAGCTGAATCCCCTGCATTTCATGGCTTTTCTGCAAATGCAGTCAGTACACGGGCTGTGGCCGTCGTCTCAACATGCCTCCAAACAGACAAATCAGGGACACATCTTTCATTTCACAGAAATCCGAGCAGATCTGCTTTAGAAACATTAAGACAACAATTCCATCTCTTAAAGCACACTGCTCAAGCTTCTCTTGGTTTTGGTTTTCACTATTCCCAGGGTTGGCATTGTTTGGGCATACTACAGGGTACTTAGCAGTGAGGCAGGACCGCAGGAGTGGCCATTAAATTGTTAGAATGCTACCAGTTGGGACTTCAAGTGAGCACGAACATTGACGTAACTTCTATCCTAGTTATAAAATCCCTCAGAACCTTCTCGATTTCTGCTGTGGAGGGTACCCAGGCAACATCCCAGGATCCTTTCTTCGCAGCTGCTCCAAAATAATGTTACAGATTAGACCACATGCAACCAGCATATCCCCAGACTAGTTTAAGGAGACCAATAGAGAGATTAGTTTTAAACGAGAGTAAAATGTGAGATAGTTTTTTCTTTTTTTTAATTTTTTTTTATTTATGAGTCTAGGAATGAAAATAAGAAACAAATAGAAGTATTCACAGTAAAATACCATCCATGTAATATTTGATCCATATTTCAAACTATTGCTAATAAAAAGTCAAAATTCAACTATGCCCTGATTTTCACCTCCCAGAAAATTGAAATCTCCAGATTACATAAAACTGGAAAAGATCACTTTCGGGGTTCAATTATAGCCATATAGCCGTTATAGGTGAGAAATTGAGGATCCAAATTTTCAATGGAGATAGAGAGACGCAATCTTAGAGTAGAACCACATAGCGAAATTTGACTCATGAATGAAGGAGTATTTAAAGGGAAACAAAGATAATGGAGAGATGATCAAATACTTTTTTTTTCACTGAAAAAGACTAATGGTAGAGGTAATAGTCTTATATTTTTGAAAGTAGGTAGCAGATAGTCTTTAAGATATGAATTTAACAATTTACAAGGTAATCGTTTGCCAAAAGTGTCATTTATTAGATAGTTTCATCCATAAAACAATATAGAAAATGTTAAGTGCTAACAAGATGGAATATATAGAGCCGTACCTGCTGCTGTGGGTGACCTTGATTAGCCACTCCTCGTTGCATAGGGATGCCTCCAGGGTTCATTCCACCACCCATTCCAGCCTGAGAAGAGATGTTATAAGGCGCTATGCCTTGAGGTGGCACTCTTTGCATACCAACCATACTCATTTGTCGAGGTACATTTCTGTTTGGAATATGGGAGCCTTGCATGTTACCAGCATTTGGAGGTGGAGCCTGAAAGAAAATATGAATTCATATACATGCAAGTAATCTGAAGTCCAACTAGAACAATACAAAATAAATTTACTTGCAACTATTAATATTATAGTCACCATTATATTTATCATGAGATGTTGGGATGCAAGCAAAGGGATGGAGGGCATTCAAGATAAACTCATAGTTCTATTAAGTTATATAGAACAGGTTTTTCATTCCAACACATTACTTGCCTCTAGATGTCAGGTTCAATAATCCTTCGAAATTGATAATTCTTTCAGTCTTGGGACTACTTTAAGTCTTTCAACGGGAGGAAAATAGAATCACAAGGATTAATACTACGTATCTATTAATCAAACCTAAGAACTAAACATTTTTCTAGCAGTATTTCATAAGCCTAACATACTTCTTTAGTCATCCATCTGGATTTGTGCACATTAACAAAACCAAGTTGGTCCAATGGTAACAGAAATCACAACTTACCAAGTAAATAGAAACATTTATCAGATTTCTCTGAGATGATCAAGCTATTAGCTTTTCAACATTAATATGATCAGACACCGACTTTTCTACTCCTCCATTGCATACATGCTATAATTAGTAAATCTTGCATCTTTTGTCTCTGCCTACTAGTCTTTCCACAGCATGGACTCGTATAAATCCAAACTATTCAAAAAAAATTCCATCAAAATAGTGAAGGGTTTAGGGTTCCCTATTTTCCTTCAGTACAAAATTCTCTTATAGCTCACCTCCCTTTACCCCAAAAGAAATCCATTTTCAAATACACATGTACGAATCAACATAGCAAAAGGGGGGGGGGGGGGTGGGGTGTTAAAAAGCACAGCTCAAAAAGAATTATGTTAAATCACCCTATGATAGAAGATTTCTGCAATTGAAAGTCACTGTAGGCTCAGAAGTTCCAAGCAGCACATCGATATGCATACCTGTTGTGGTGGTTGAATGGTTGCTGTTCCCTCAAAATGAGTATTACTGTCCACTGGTCGAGCAGGATAATTAACAACTTTTTCTTCGGGCCGGGAGGGAATAAATGCACTGTAAAACATTAAAATGGTTAAAATGAAAGTAAACAGTTTCCAATAGATAAATAATCAGTCCCACAACAGCATGCAACTCGAGACCTGTACAAGGGAGAAGGATAACTTACTTGCGACCTGGCAAAGGCTCCATCTTGAAGTACCTGATATAAAAATATGGGGAAAAAAACACGATATTAATAACCCAAAAATTCCTTAAAGACCTGAAGCTACTCAAGGTGGGGCAAGTGAAACTTGAAAGAACAATCATGCTGACACAGAAGGGAGCAAGTAATATATGATGAATCAAGAAAGAGTCATTAATGTTTCCAAAACTCCAAACGTGTGCAAGTCAATCATAATCTTACTGAAATACTTTCTCCGATTTTATATAGATGAAACCTTTTTTTCATGCTTTCCAATGCAAATTTTCAATCGTGAAGATCCTTAATTATCAATAAGTAAAAATTACAAAAATTTGATATAAATTAAGACGAATCTAACAAACCACACATGTTTTCCAGCCAAGCTGCACATTCACTAAAAAATTCACTTACAAAAAGCCAAAAAAAAAAAAAAAAAAAAAAACTTTTGAGAAATCACAAACCCAAATGGTCCAATAGAACCCCCCAACACCGCCACCGCCCCCGCCCATAGATACAACCCTAAAATATTCAAATATGTGATACAAATCATACACTCTCTGTCGTCAGATAATTGTCATGTATAGTTGTATACTACTAGTATTTTGGTCAGTCCCAATTGCCCTTGTTAACTTCACTGAAAAATTTATCCCACCTAATTCACTAAACCCTAAAAAAAAAGACTATTCTAATATGCGTGCCAAAACCCAAGATGGCAATATTTTGAGGATGGAACAAGTATTTTCAACTACTCTTTTTCTGGGAGTAATAAAAGATATAAGGAAAAGAAAGTAGTTCATTGACTATAATTATTACTCAGACTGTGAAACCAAGCTAGAGATTAGTGCATGCGAGCATGGTGCCATGGATATGACCAAATTGTGGAGAGGGGGGGGGGGAGCAGAGAAAAAGGAGAGGTGCAAACATGGGCTCCCAAGGTTCCTGGTTGCAAATAAACTGGTTTCCATTCAGCATGGGCCTCCCAACCAGCAGCTATGCTGCACGATGTGTCATAGAAGGATTGGGAAGGACGAAATGGGAGAGGCACATGAGTAGGAAATTTAGTCTTTTGCTAGTTCTGGTAGATAAGTAGGTCAGCTAAGGGGTAAATCTAACAACAGAAATACAAACTACAGTGGTAGGAGTCCAAAATTCATCAAAGAAAAAGGGAGCTGAATAAGTGAATAAGACTGGCCACAAGTAATTTTACATAGCACACCTCACGAAACATAATTTTGAAAATCTTACACAGTATTTAATTCTCCATTCTATATAAGTTTAGTCCAGCCCCGAGCAATGATTCTTTAAAGCAACAATAAGCTAATAACTAATAACCACCTAATGGTGTGAGTATGTTCAAGTCATGATGCATATAAAAAAAAGGGGGGGGGGGGGGGGAAGGAAGGGGGGGGGGGAAGAGTAATCTGTAAAGAATGATAGTCTTACTCATGTTCAAGTGCTTGTGCAGCTGTTAGTCGCTTGCGAGGATCGTATCTGCATAAAGTTCAAAGGAATAAAAGATTACAAAAGTTAACAGGATATATATTTGAACATAACATGAAAATTAAATGAAAATATCTTCCAGGAGAAAATCACAGAAACAAAAATCATGAAGTGTTCTAGAAAGGTCAATAAGTTAATACAACTAAAAAAAATTAACAAATCCAAAAATTGATGTACTGCTATAAACACTGATACACACAAATACACAGGTAACCCAACAGCCAAAACATAGCAGTAGCACACTTACTCAAGCATTTTGGACAGCAGGTCATAAGCAGGACTTTTGGGAGAAAGATGGACAACACTGTAAAGTCCAGGATTGTCGCTGCAGTAAACGATGGGTTAAAAAAGGGTAAATACTTAATGAATTGGCATATACGGAGTAGTAAACAGGAATGTAAAATAAAAATATGATCCTCGTAAACAACATGACTACGCAATATATTAATAAAAAATGTTGGCCGGTGTCACTTGCCACTAAAGACTGAAACCAATCATAAACAACCAAAAAGGGAAAGAAAATAGAGCAGGGCCACTCACTATTTATGCCCTTGAATATGCTGCGTATCTTGTTGCCAATGTGGAAGATTCGCAAGTATAGGCCACTTTTCTGGTGTTGGATGACCTGAAATAGAAGGAAATGACTTAATAAAGAGCACTCGGCCCTCAGAAACAAAATTAGCAGCCAATTCTAGCTAGCTTACCTAAGACTTTGAATATTTTGTCAAGTTGATCCAGCTGTAACAGAAGGCATCCATGTTAGAAAGCAACATTAATAAATTAGACCAAGATAAAAGCTCAGGATATATTCCTCCGATTCATAATAACTGCAACACTTAAACGAGATTTCAAAATTAATAGCAACATAACTTATTTTGGTAACTGCTCCCCTCTATCTCTCTCCTCAAAACGTTTTTAAATTAATTGCAACATAACGGAGTAATATTTTATAATTCCAGCAAGATAATCACAGATAAACCTTTAAAATACCTGAAAATGATTTGGTGTGCCTTTGACTTCCGCACCTTGAAACAGTGGCTTTAAAGTCAGAAGCTCAGCAAATATGCATCCAACAGCCCACATATCTATTTTAATTTTTTTTAAAAAAAATATCAACTGTCAGCTCCTAAGGGGAGAAGAATAGTTAGGATAAAATCTAGGTCAAACGGGAATCTAAGGCATTGTGTAATGCCAATAAGGATGTGGGGAAAGGAATTAATCTACAGCACACTTAATAAAGATAAGGATGGATTAAAGGGATACCAACAGCACTAGTGTAGTGTTTTGCCCCAAGCAGCAGTTCAGGAGCTCGATACCAAATTGTCACCACAACCTGCACAAAGGCTTCAAAATGTGAGCAACTATTCCACAGATGACCTGCTTAAATTGAGAACTAATCACAGTCCAGCAACAATTTAAGAGTATATCGCATGTCAAAAACACTAAACTATTACCCCATTGTCAGCCAATGCCTTTAATGGAGCCTGGTATACTCTTGCTAATCCAAAATCAGCAATTTTAACAACTCCCTGTTCTTCTCCTTCGCCCATAACCTTCAAACATATAATTCCAAAACCGACATATATATAAGCAAATGAAAAGTGCAGACTTCAATAATTTAGGGACGTCGCCACATGGACGACATAATGCACAGCCATACCAAAATATTCGACGGTTTGAGATCTCGATGAATGATCCAATTACTGCAGCAAAGGAACCAACAAATTTGAGTATTTGGAGGAAACATAACATTTGCATATTAAAGTGCCTTGCTAATCACCATACCTATGTAGATAATTAAGGCCATTCAGCAGCTGCCAGAGCAATGACTTAACTGTGTACTGATTGATTGGTTGATTTACCTTATCTCTATGATATCTAATGATCTCCTGCAGGACCCAGCATGCAGAGAAAGTAGCAGAATTGATAAGGTAAGTTATCCTCCTCTTAGACAGCAGTAGAAACTATGAGTACTTTATAAAATTTGTATCATTATTTTAATTCAATATTTAAGGGGCATGCTACTCACATATAGATCATGCTCCGCATAATCAAAGGCCAGGTACAAAGACATGTCTGCAGGATTGATGTGTACATTCACAAGCTTAACCACATTTTCATGGGATATTTCTCGTAGCAACTGCATTTCAAAGAATGAGGATATAAAGATGACAATAGATACATTAGCCTTAACCCTTACAACACCAACAATATCATTATCACCACAATGCTTCTAGCGAAGATCCCGCTCTATGCAGTAATAACTAACAACGGTCAAATGTATGCAGTAATCTCATATATTTCACGAAAAGAAAGTATAAATTTAGCACTTGGAATATCCATATGTTATAATTAACTTGTAAAGAATACCTCAAAGAATGAACTAATCAACACACTCTTCCATTCAATAATAGACCACCAACACTATACCATTTAATTGAGTATGCTGTATGCACATTAAAAGTATCCTAGAGTCTTATCGTAAACAATCTCCAAAAAATTCTCTTATTTTCAGAATTAATAAAAGTACCTATAAAGAAAGAATCATCATGCCCCATTGATGAAAGAAAACTTCAACTTCCCAACAACAGATTCTACCATAACTTGATAAATTTCACACATTCCCAGTAAACCCCACAAACTAACACTTCCCCTTTCAATTCAAAAATCAACGAAAGTTCCAAACTTTATACAAGTGAATTACAAAATTCCTGATTCAGCATTTAAAAAAAAAAAAAACCCTAATTCCAATCAATTAACATACACCCAGAAAAATAAAAATCCAACCTTTATTGATCAATCAAATTTTAAACAAAATACCCAAAACTCCAATTACAATTATAATATTGAGCAACAATGAAAACCCAAAAAATCCCAACAAAAAACCCAGAAACAAAAATTAAACAAAAATAAAAAAGAAAGAGGAGAGAAAAACCATGATTTCGCGAATAGCAGTAGGGGAGATGCCATCACCATCTTTAGATTGCTTAAACTTCTTAATAGCAATTGATTTACCACGATGAGGAGAAGGGGGTTTAACACGGGCTAAGAACACCAAACCATAAGTTCCTTCCCCAATTTTACCGATCAAATCATATTGTTGCAGCCATTCTGGTTTGTTGCTGCTGTTGTTGGAGTGTTGTTGATGTTGCTGTTGTTGTTGATGGTGATGATGTTGTTGTTGTGGGTGATGATGGTTGCCCAACATCCCTCCACCTCTGTTGCTCATTGTTGGTGTTGTTTTGATTCTTCTCCCATGTCTTTCAATTGACTCTATTTTTTGTTGTTCTTTTCGTTTGATTTGGAAGTCCACGGTATTATAACGGCGGTGGTGTGGTTATTAAATCTTTGGCACTAATTGGAGTTTCGTTAATGAACAATTGGACAGGGTAACCCAAGGTTAGAAATTTGTGAATTTGGGATCGAGTTATGGACAGAAGATATGGGCAAGGTCAGTATAGAAAAAATGAAACTAGAGAGAGAAAGTTAGCCAATAACCCCAACAAGCAAAAGAGACCAGAACTTACGAAGCTACTACTCCCTCCCTCTTTTTTATTTTTGTCCCATTGCCATTTTTTGGGTCAAATTTTGAAAACTTTGACCATAATACCGTTAATCTATAAAAGATAGGAAATTTTGGAAACAACTACCAATTTAAGTCCCCGTTTTGCAAACAACTACCTTTTAAAAAAAAATTTAAAACAACTACCACACAAATATTAAAAGTTAGAGTAGCACTACCACATGTGAAATTCCGGCAAGAATCTCCGGCAACTGGGTCCCACATTCTACAATTCCCTCAAATTTTTTTTTCTCTCTCCTCTGTATATAATTGTTATTGTTCGAGCTTTAATTGAACAAAAATTCCCAAAAAAATTTCTCAAATTTTCTCCCTTTTTTCACAAATTGAGCAAGAGGAATAATTTCTTGAACGCTACCTCAAGTAATTTGAGAATCTTGGATTTGAAATTGGGAAAAATTGGGGAAATTAGGGTTTCGCTAAATTAGCAATTTTTGGGTAGATTGAATTGATTTATTGACATTTAGGGTTTATTAATTGGTTGTTGTACATGTTTTTGCAGGATTTTGCGAATTGAATCATGTCCAATTCATCCTATGAATCGCCATAGATTTTAATTAGGGTTCAAGTCAAACTTTACTTTCCCAAACAAAACGTCATAGATTTTAATTAAAATTACATACTATACCTGACTTTAAGTAGAATTTGTCCTTCACCAGCTATCACCATCATCCCCTTCTCCATTAAAGCTCCAGCTTTCCCAATGTAGAAACGACAACTCCACTTTCGTTGCAACTTTGGACCACCGCGACAAAGACAAAAAAAGTGGGGAATAGTGGGGCGAATTCAATAACCTAAGTGTGAGGTGAGAAAATGCGAATATTCTCTGAGAATTTCAGAAAACCTTGACAATGGGGGTTGAACAGAGAACAGGGGAGAGTTAGGCGAGAATTAATTTAGGAGAAGGGAAGGTGGTTGGGTGTAAATTAAAAGAGGGGTAATAAGGTAATTTCGCATGGTCAAATTGGAGGGAATTGTAGAATGTGGGACCCAGTTGTCGGAGATTCTTGCCGGAATTTCACATATGGTAGTACTACTCTAACTTTTAATATATTTGTGGTAGTTGTTTTTAAAAAAAAAAATTAAAAGGTAATTGTTTTCAGAACGGGGCCTTAAATTGATAGCTGTTTCCAAATTTTCCTAAAAGATAATATGTTCATGAGTGGTCTTGTTAGATTTGTCTCATTGTATATAATATTAATATCATGTTTTTATAATTTTTACGTATATGGAATATAGATTATAGACGTTTTAAAACGCATCTTAGAGACCGCGCACAGTCAAATGGGGCAAAAGAATAGGGACAGAGGGAGTACTAGCCATCTCCATTCTACTCACTCATTTCTCTTGAATAAAAGTAGACTTGGCAAATGGTTCGTTCGAGTCGGGTCAATTTCGGGTCAGTTAACATTCGAGTCGGGTATGGGTCGGGTCGGGTCATTTCATGTTGCGGGTATGGATCGGGTCAGGTATCGGGTCGAGCTAGGGTCGGGTCGATTTTAGGTCAAGTCATTTTCGGGTCAAGTATGTTCGGGTCATATTCGAAATCACGTCGGGTCATGTTCGGGTTGTTTTATTTAATTTGTGGATCTAGCTCAAATCAATAATTTTATATTTTATTATTGTTATAATAAGAACTATCAATTCGGTTTATGAGTGTGGCTACAGTTGAAAATGAATAGTTTAAATTATTTTTGGCACCAGACATTTTTAGTTCAATTATAAGGTAATTTTAGTTCGGGACATTTCGAGTATTGGGTATGTTCGGGTCAATTTTGAGTATCGGGTTTGTTCGGGTCAAACAATTCGGGTCGGGTCAACTTCGGGTCGGGTAAGGTCAACTCTATTTTCGGGTCGGGTATGGATCGGGTCAGGTCAATTTCGAGTTTTGGGTCATGGGTTGGGTCATGATTGGCAGGTCTAAATAAATCTATCATCAAGGAAAGAGCCCAGTGTATCCAAGTACCATTCTATCTCAAAACCCAACATCACATGCTTACAAAAAGGAAAATTAATGGTAATCGTCAACCAAACACAACGAAATCCACAAAAGCATCTATCAAATCCCGTAAAAAGCTCAATCTGAACAATTATCTACATGTATTTTGTAATCTCCAAATTTCAAGGACTAAACATCACAATCAAAGAGCCTCAAATAATTTCAAATCTCCAAAGTTTTGGGTTTCAAATTGGGTCCCTTTTGAAACCCATCTCCCCTTTCAATTTTACGAAGTTGGTTATTTCTGGGCTACACTGGCCAAGGGCGAAAACAACCTCTCATCCACCACTTTGGGGTTCGTATCTCGGGTCCCGATAATATCACCAAACAGGTTCGCTTGGTGGCAGTCAATCTTATCATAAAATTGGAACACTCACAAGTCAAAAATAATGCAGATACAAAGGAAGCAACATAACAATAGTTTCAGAAATCAATATAAAGACAGTGCCAACCTCAGCTATATAAGAGTTGCTCAGGTACGCTTGGTAAACACAAGTCTCCCTGCTTATTCCATCTTCTCCAATTCAAATCCCTTGAATATTTCTTTTCCTTCTATATATGGCTGAGAAAAAAAGCTTCAACCTACTAGTGATGTTTTTAATGTCCCCCTTGAGACAAACAATATGGGTTCAAGCCCACCTGAGCACACTCATGCAGCTACTACCACTGATGTCCCCTTAGACGAACAACCTCAAGTCCAACAAGACATAGAAGAGCTATCCAATACTTGTCTTTTTGGTGTCCTTCTTGATCTTCGTACTATTATTACTAGAACTAAAGCAAACTGGAAATTGCTTAAGGGGGATGTTGAATATTTAGAGATGGGTAATAATTGGATTCTCCTTCGATTTGCAAATCCTAATGATAAGCAAATTGTATGGAATGAAAGGGCTTGGCATGTCCAGGTTGAAATTCTTGTTCTCCTTGGAGACCTCTGTTTGATCCTTTTTCTGAGGAAATTCAGTGGGTTGATCTTTGGACTTGGATTCGTATCCCTAGATTCCTATCCGAGCTCATAAATTATGATTCAATTGCTAATCTTATTGAGAAAAATGAAATAAGCACCCTCATTAGACTTTACCAACGCTGTACATAATCAGATTTGTCAGGGCCTGTATTTCTGTTGATATTTCTAAACCTTTTGCCCAAATCCGTCGATTTGGAGGCCAGTCCTTTACTTATCTTATTTGGTATGAAGACTTTTCAGAAGGTTGTGCCTTTTGTGGTGAGGAAAATCATTCCATTGAAAAATGTCCTTTATTGACAGCCCCTCCTAAGGAAGTTAAGATTGTTTTACAGAAAGCTCCGGGATTGTTTTCAACCTACACTAGTGCTAGTTCTTCTGATGCTAGACCAGAAAACCATCAACGTACAACCCAGAAAGCCTTTGTTGTTCATGTCAGGTCAAAGCAGAAAAACCAAGCACTAGGGGTTGAAAAGGCTGAATATCCCTCAAACTTCTCTATTCAAGAGCAAGTCCCCAGAAACTCATCCTCAAAGGGAATTCATATCAAAGAACCAACTGATGTAAACCATCCCTCTTATAAAGCCAAAAAAGGGGAATGGAATCAAGTCAAAAACAAAGGAAAAGGTAAGCTATCTATTGCAAACCCAATCCAAGACAACGATGAGTCATCTAATGATGATGGCCCTAAGGAAAAAATCAAAAAAAATATGCAGTCAAACACTCTCAAAGCCAATGATGAGGGTACAAGCTCAAGGCCTACTGCAGTCTTACCCACAGGGATCCTAATCCCACCTTTCATTCAACCTCAATACCCTCCTCCTCAACATTTGGAGGAAGGAACTGAGCATCTGTTTTATGATAACACTCTGAATTTTGGTGGCTCTGGTAGTGATAGTGTGCAAATTGATGACAACAGTCATTAGACGAGGCATTCTAACATGCTAGTAGGCTCGTTTCAGTCGCTACACTCTGATAACTCTATCATAAAGCACATTGAAAACATGGAGGTGGAGCAACCGCTAGAGAAAGTCCTCTCAACCATGTCTAATAGAGGAGAAGGAAGAAGACACGGCCTCAACCTTAGTGAAGAGGAACAAGAACTAATGCAAACCTCCCTTTTTAAATTTTTACGTTTTAAATGAATTTAGGTTTTTGGAATATTAGAGGTTGCGGAAGAAAAAATGTCCGATCTGAAGTCAATGATTTCTGCTCGGTAAATCATATTAATGTAATGTCATTATGTGAAACAAAAAAACAATCTTCTTCTAGTCATTCGGAAATAGCCAAGTGTGGCTTTAGGACTTTTGATTTCATCCCAACTTTGGGACTTTCTCGTGGTATCTGGTTAATGTGGAAGGATAGCTTAGCTAATCCTTTTACTTTATCCATCGTAGTTAAAGCCAACAGATTTATCTCATGTAATATCTCTATTATAAATTTGAATGTATCCTTTATTTTATGCCCCTGCTAGAGAAGAACAAAAGGAATGCTTTTGGTCAGAGCTAATATCATATTTAGCAAGTATTAATGACCCATTTATAATAATGGGTGACTTTAATGAAATTAGTGACACAAAGGATAAACAAGGTGGCAACACACCAACGAGTATAAGTATTTCAAAGAATGAATGAATTAAAAGCCAAGTAGATTGCATTGAAATTCCATTCACTGGAGCTCCTTTCACATGGAGAAAGAAAAAATATGGCACTGATAACGTTTTTGAAAGATTAGATAAGGGTATGGCTAACACAAATTGGCTAAACACATTCCAAAATGCAAGAATTAAGCACAACATTTTTACAACATCAGATCACTGCCCAATTAGTTTGTGTCTAGAAAATCTATCACCTTTGAGAGCCCCACCATTTAGATTCGAAAAAATGTGGACAACTAGAAAAGATTTTGAGAACTTTAGTTAAAAAAACTTGGTGCACCAAATTTAAAGGATCAAATATATTTTGCTTACTAAAAAAACTTAAACTTCTTAAGACAAACGCCAAAGAATGGAATAAACACAGATTTGGTAACATTTTTAGACAGTTAAGATTAGTAGATGATAGTCTACAAAAAATTCAAGCTCAACTAATTAGTAAACCCGATAATAAGGTGCTACAGGTAAAGTATGATAAGCTGCTAGTAAAGAGAAATAATTTGTTCTCCTTTTCAAACACCTACTGGAAGCAAAGAGTTAGAATAAACTCTTTAAAATTAAACGATCAAAACACTAAATTCTTCCAAGCACATGCTATTATAAGGAAAAACAAAATGGCTATAAAGAAATTAATCACACAAGGTGGGAAAACAGTCTACGATAACAATTCAATTAGCCAAATCATGAATGAAGAATTTGCTACTAGATTTACAAGCAACCAAAACTGTACTTTTAATATTAGCACCGATTTTGATCTTTTAGATCCAATAGTTTCTGAGCAAGACAATAATGAATTAATAAGAACAATATCAGACCAAGAAATTTATGAAGCGGTCTTTGAGATGGACCCCGACAAAGCTCCGGGACCAAATGGATTCCCAACCTTTTTCTTTCAAAAATACTGGAAATTGGTCGGTAATTCAATCACAATGGCTATTAAAGCCTTTTTTCATCCACGAAAAATCTTAAGAGAAATTAACCACACTTTCCTAGTATTAATCCCAAAAATAGATAACCCCGAACAAACAAATCACTTTAGACCCATAAGCTTATGCTCTACCCTCTATATAATATTTGCAAAAATCCTAGTAAATAGACTTAAAATTGTTCTCGGGAAATTAATTCATCCTCTACAAGGAGCATGCACCCCTGAAAGACTAGTACAAGACAATATATTAATAGCACATGAAATATTTCACTCCTTTAAGAACAAAACAGGAAAATTAGGATGGATAGCAATTAAGCTAGATATGGAAAAGGCATACGATAGAATAGAGTGGAGCTACCTATTCACAACCTTGGAGAAAATGGGTTTTTGTCATACTAGGATTAAGTGGATCAGAGAGTGTATTACAAATGTCTCCTTCTCTGTATTAGTAAACGCTTGTCCAATGAATAAATTTCTCCCATCAAGAGGTATAAGACAAGGAGATCCACTATCCCCATATTTATTTATTATTTGTGCAGAACTCCTTGCCAGAAAACTACAGTGTAGCAAAAATAAATACTTGGGCATATCTCCTAGTAGGTCAGGATTTAGAATCCCTTTCCTTACTTTTGCTGATGATACTATGATTTTTGCTGAAGCAAGTAAAGAAAATTGTACTCTCATAAAAGATATTCTTGATAAGTATTGCTTAATGTCAGGACAAATAATTAATTTTAATAGATCAGCATTTCAATGTACAAAGAAAGTGACCAACAATGAAATACAAATGTTTAGTGAAATACTCCAAATGGGCAATACAGATTATTTGGGTAAATATCTAGGATGCCCATTGATTGATAAAAGAGTGTCTAAAAGCACTTTTATGGATTTAGTATATGGAACAAAAAATCAACTCTCAAAGTGGAAAGCAAACTCTCTTTCCCAAGCAGGTCATTATATGCTAATTCAAGCAAATTTAGCAGCAAAGGCTAATTATCAGATTCAAAATCACCAAACCTTATTAGTTGGGATAAAATTTGTAAATCGAAAAAATTGGGTGGACTAGGATTTAGAAAGGCAGAGGTTAATAATTCAGTTATGCAGATGAAGCTTTTGTGGAGGATATTAACGGAACCAAACAATGTACGGGTTAAACTCATAACTGAGAATTACCTAAAAGACAAATCTTTAATTGATTATGAACCAGCATCTAATTGCTCTCCTTTTTAAACAAGGCCTAAGATGGCAAGTAGGAAATGGTAATAAAATTAATTTTTGGACAGACACTTGGGTTCTTAAGAAACCATTGATACAAATTACTCATAATGCTCCACATAGTCTTTTAACAGAGAACGTGTGTGCCTATTTCACAGAACACAAGCAATGGAATACTACTAAATTAAACCAAATCCTCCCCCAAAATATAGTCAAAGTCATTTGCAACACCTATATCCCTTCTAACAATCTAGAAGATAAAGTATTCTGGGGATACACTTCTAGTGGAAAATTTTCGACCAAATCTGCAGCTTATTTATGACCCATCTTTAAATGCAAAAGTTTCATACGAATGGATATGAAAAACTAATCTCCCTCCAAAGATTAAAAACTTCATTTGGAATGATGGACTTCCTACAAGAGAAAGATTATTTTGAAGTAATGTCATAGTTCCGCTTCATTGTCAATTCTGTAATCATCACACAGAAAATGTAGACCATCTTTTCTTTAAATGTGCAGTTTCAGAAGACATCTTCAGCTACCTTACCTAGATAGGCAAATGGACTAACCCGTCCAAATTTATGGGGACATCATTTATCAGTTCTATTCAAAATATTAGAGCAGCAAACTCATTAGAGACAACACAAAATATTTTATAGCATGGTGCTTTATTTGGTACATTAGAAATTCAATAATTTTTAGAAATGGGTCTTTCAAACCTGCATTCTAGTCAAGAACTTCACTAATGATTGGTTCAATAGTCAAAATATTGAAATATGCGATGAAGACAACCCCCATAGATCTTCTAAGTCCTGGGGATAATAAAAATTGCCAAAATACAACTCAAAGAGCTTGGTTCTCCCCTCCAAGAAATTTCCACAAGTTAAATTTTTATGGCTCAAAAATAGGCAAAAATAGCTCTGCTTTTGGCTTTGTAATTAGAGATCATAATGGGAATCTTATTCTTGCGGGGGCAAAGGCTCTCCACCCCGACACTTCAATTCTCCAAGCGGAAGCAATGGGCCTAAGAGAAGGCTTAGAGGGAGCTAAATTCCTAGGCATTCGTAATCTGATTATAGAAGGCAATAATCTGGCAGTCATAAATGCCATCAAGAGGACTTGGCAAATCCCATGGGAGATCTTCAACATCATATGTGACACGGAGGTAACTTTGAACACACTTGATTCTCACCATTCACCATTGTTGCAGGAAGACGAATATGGCGGCGGATTACATGGCAAAGAAGGGGCACCACCATGAAAATTTACTTTGGTCCTTTAATAATTTTGCGCCTTCCCTCTCCCTTATCATCCAAAAGGATGCTTTAGGTATCTCTAATCAAAGGGGCTAACTTAGCTTTTCTCACTCAATCAAAAAAAAAAAAACATATGGTTAAAATATTATTTTTAAAATTTGGAAAATTCTAAATTATAACCCTCTATATTACGTTTTACGTGGTGTGTCCTCCCCTTTTGAAAGTTACACATTATAACCCTTAGGTATAATTAATAACCATACAGTGACCTTATCGTTATCCTGCCGTTAACAAATTTTGTTATGTTGATTCAATCACCGTTAGTGGGCCCACTCTCCACTTATTAATACGGAGTATTTTTTATCAATTTGCGTGTTGGAAAATGTTCCGTTAAAGGTTTTAGGGGTCATTTGTTCCTTGTGGGTCCAATTAAGCTCAGATTTGGCCAAAAAAATAATGTACTACGTAAATGCCTCATTTTGCTTATTAAGAAATGTTGCAGAAATTGTTCAACTAGAGGTGATAAAAAAAATTGGGCCAAGCCGAGTCTATGCAAAATCCTTGTGCCCAATAGTAAAATAGTGTCATGTTTATTCGGCCAAAGCAAGTTTTTGGGGCCAGGCTTGAGTTTTTAACTAAAAATTATAGCCGGTAAAAGTTGACACGACCCGAAATGGACACGAGAAAAACTAGTCAGTGTCAAGCGTTTAAGACACGCTTAATTAAACAAGTAATCACAACACGACATGTTAATTAAATAGGTTGAGTTGGTGTTTACAATTCCAACGCGAAATACCCCGCTTAAGAAAAAATAATCAATAATTTATGGATTTTATGATAAATATCTCAAATGAAGTTAACATTTTGACTTATGACACGACACGACACGAATCGGACACTAAAAACGGGTTAGTGTCAAGGGTTTTCGACATGATTAGCAAAATGGGGTCAGCACGACACAACACGTTTATTAAAATGTTGTTAGTGTTGAGGTTCGTCAACCATTTCACTTTAAACACGAACACGAAAATGATTCGACATGACATATTTGCCAGCTCTACTAAAAAAATGCATTTTAGCCTTGTCCAAACCTGAATTTTTTCGAATCGAATGGGGCGGGCCATTGATGATTGCATCTAGTTGGTACTCCACTACCCCGGTTTAGATCCCAAAAGTGCAATTAGCACATGAAATTAGTGCAAGTAGCCCGTTAACGTGGAAGCCAGTGAGCCAGGAAACACCCAAACCTCACTCTATTAAACCATTTTTCACCCTCTCTCTCTTTCGAGTAGATAAGCAAACAATCGAGTAAGAGATACTGATAATCCTCTTCAATGTCGCAGCTCGCTTTGTCCTCTACATCAACGCTTCCCCATTTTAACCGTAAGTTTCCCTCATCCGTATTTCTTACTCTTTCCCCATTTTTAGTACCCCATTTTACTTTTATTTAGCTAATTATTAGGCCTTTAAACCCCAGAATTAAGATTGTGTTGTATAATCGTTTCAACGTGATACTTGTTTTTAGATTTTTTTATAAATGGGGTTTATGTATTTTGATTTAATTGGGAATTTTGAACGGTCTAATTGGGCACCCTTTTAGCATATTTTGCGAGTTATTTGTAGTTTCCAATATATTTTTGACAAATGAAGTATTATTGGAAGATGGGTGAATATGGAAATTACAAATTAAATCTTGTTGTAGAAGATTTATTGAGTAATTCTTTTCTGGATTTTGAAATTTGAATTTGTGGTGTTACATGTAATGTTGTTATCTTAATGAATCAAATTGTCATTTATGTGGGCAATTTGGAGTGATTGTTTATGTTTAATTAATGGGGGGCGAGTTTCGCTGATTCTGATCGGATTGAATTATCTCTATGATATGCTGCATTGCTGCCTTGGTTATTGCTGAAGGGTGTGAAGGAAGTATGTTGAGGTTGTTACCGGATATAGACTATTGTTGGTGTTAGAAAGAACATTGAATTCACAATGCAATAAGAATTGAAGTGAAAAGAGAGGATATGAGCGGGCGAGATTGAGATAAAATGTCGAAATGAATTCACAAGCTTCATTGCTTATCTTACAAGATTTAAGTTTTAGGACACCTGTTTGATTGATTAGGATGAAGATTAGTTGTTTATTGTTCACACTTGCTATCACACATTTCCTTCTTCATGGATATGATGTCTTTCAGGGTGTTGTATATTTATACTCTCTAGTACTAGAACTCTTGGCTTTCCATGCGTTGCCTAACAGAGGGGTGGCGTGATCATGGGGAGAACCTGGGATAAAAAGTAAAATACCAATGTTATGCTGCTCTTCAGTACAGGCTGAAGTTAGATTGTTTTGTTAATTGGTTGATCCCATGCTGTCAACTTGTCAAGTTTTGGTTTTGAGAGATCTGAAAAGGACCTTGGAGGTTTGACCTTAGTGCACAATTATGCATGTTTATATTATATTCCTATTATGTGGAGCATATTTTGTCCATTTCATTTATTTTCCTTTCTGTTAAATTTTTGTTTGTTTACTATTACAGGAACTGTAAAGAGACTAAATAAAGTATTTCCCATATTTACGGGGCGATATGCAATCAAATATTCACTATATGGGAAGTTTCAAAGGAAAGGATTCTCCACCGTTGCTTCAGCTAATACAGGGATTAATGGGGGTGTTGCTGAAGTATCCGAAAGGGAGCAGGATTTAAAGCATTATATATGGCCAGACAAGAAGGTTTCAATTTATTTAATCCATGCAATGAACGTCCATTTTATCCAAGAGTCACATCTTATTGTGCCTGACTTATTGTCATCCATGTTGATATTGCTTTCAGTGATTTGGATTTGGGGATTTGGTAGATTGAAACAGTTAGCGGTCACTACAACTGAAGTTTGCCTGAGTGGCCTGACATTATGTAAAAATGTTATTTGTTGCTTTAATAATCATGATTGAGCCTTTCATTTAATTGCATGAAGGGCCATAAATTGGTTTCATTACCATGACCTTTCACAGAGTGTATGGGTGGGGAGTGGGGACCCTGCTTGGTTGGTCTGCCTTGAAAATAATGATATCATGTTTGATGCATAATGGTTTACCATTGCTTAATTAGTAGTTCTCAGCTTCTCAGTTCTCAGTATTAATTGACAGGCATTAACTTCTCGAAAATATCACTCTATTGGCAGTGTTAAAAGATAGATCTTATATCATTCTTAGCATTGTAACTGGATTAATAAATAGGAGCCACCTGTTGTTAATGTTTATGAAAACATGCGTAAACTTGAAGCAGTTCCCTATGCTTTGCGGGGTCCATATGCTTTGTAGATCATCTGTTTCAGTTTTTTTAGATGTCTTATTCATTCTTAATCTCTTCTGTCATTAATTTATCTATTGATGTATCAAGCAAGTGCTAGCTGCTTGTGTTGTTTTTCGTATTTGGTATGTCTAGTTTGTGTGTTGTGTGAGTGCACCTTAGGATTCATTTCTTTCTGTATATAGCATTTCAAGTTTTAGTAGAAACCATGTGTGATCCTCTCTTCCCTTTTTTCTTTGGTTTGAACAGAGGCCTAGGGTATGCATAGTAGGCGGCGGATTTGGGGGCTTATATACAGCTTTAAGACTGGAGTCTCTTATATGGCCTGATGGCAAGAAACCTCAAGTAAGTTATCGTTGGTTTCATCTTGCATTAATATTCTTTTCTGGCTGGTTATTGTAGGATGTTATGTTAAATTGCTGCAGCCTGCACGCAACTAGTTTTGAACAGATTATTTTTGTTCCATAACTTTGTCATGTTTCCTATGATTGGGATATGTTCCGAACTGACTATGTGAAATATTTGTCATCACCATTGGTGTGAAGTTGGATATCAGTCATATCACAATGTTAACCGAAGATATATTCCCTTTGTCATGTATTTAAGTTACTACTTTTGCACAAAGATTTGGTAGTGTGACAAAGTAGAGGGGAAAAGGTGGTGGGTAGATGGGTGTGGACCCTCACTTTAGAGAAAAGGTAGTGATTACTTAAAATAGATGTAACCCACCTTGAAAGACGTTAGCTTGATTTTGGATCCAGGGAGTATATTTTCCTGTGGAGTAAGGTGCTTTATTTTTCAATATTCATTACCATAGGGGTGCAATTTGAATTTATTGTTGCCTTAGACAGTAATGAGCAGATCTGAAGCCACTGAGTCCAGTCCTTTTAATTTGTTGATGGAAAAGGAAGGGGAAATTTGATTGTTTAATTTGCTATGACTTGTAAGTGAAATGTTTGAAGGTGGCCATCACTAAATTATGATGGCATGAGCTGTGAATTGAGCAATTCTTATTTATCCCTAATATCACGTGTGCTACTCTTAATACTGTTCGATTCTTTCATGTGGGACCAGGTAACTCTCATTGATCAGTCTGATCGTTTTGTTTTCAAGCCAATGCTTTATGAACTTTTATCTGGAGGTTTGTTTTACTTCTTGAGAACTTATCTGATGAACGTTTTTCCTTAGTATTCATCCTTACATTATCAACTCCTTGTTAGTTTATATTGTTAACCGTTAAAGGGATTTAATTGCAGAAGTGGATGAATGGGAAATAGCTCCCCGATTTTCAGAATTGCTGGCAAATACTGAGGTTCAATTTATACAGGACAGAGTGAAACTCCTCCATCCCTATGATATGCCCACAAGCGGTGGTCAAAGGAACCCTTGTGCTGGAAGTGTGCAACTTGAAAGTGACCTTCTTATAGAATATGACTGGTATTAGTTTTGTCTTTGGTAATATCTTCAGTCTTCAGTCTTCAGTATGTTCTGCATTTGTATCTTGCATACTTGCTTTTGGTATCTAGTACTGCAGTAAGAGACTTATTTTATGTATGGTACATCTATGGGGTTCTCTCTATGCTAATATGCTATTGAGCTATGTGGATTTGCACTTGATCTCTTATAACTTAAGTTATTATGTTTCATGATATTATGTTTCACTTTTGAAGTCAATTGTTGATTGTTAATTTGTTACCAATTATTGTCTTTTCCATGTGTGTCTAACATCAAGGAGATGCTATTTTTCTTGGCAATATTTCTTGTATGATATGGCAAAATGATGTTAAGCTGTGATTGTATGTGGTTGCTTAAATCTAGTTGCTACTGCTCAGGCTGATTACTTGTTTGTTTGCTTGGACAGCCAGGTTGGTTCTTGCTTTGGGGGCTGAACCAAAGCTTGACATGGTACCAGGGGCTGTAGAATATGCTCTGCCATTTTCCACTTTTGAGGATGCATGTGTAAGTATTTGAGGTATTAAATTAATTGCTTTATTTGTTGGGTATTTGTACTTACCTTGATGCTGGCGTGGGACATTACCCATTATATATTTGTCTCTGAGTATATGACTACTTACAGTGGGTTGGGTTGACTGTGAGGAAAGGAAACCACGAAATTCCAGTTACTATTGATACTTTAATTCAGCTGAATTTACAATGGAGAGGAAAATGTTTATAAATTACTCTGTGGATCCTCTTGTTACATCAGAAGCTGTAATTGAACAAGAAACTGCCTAACATTGGAATGATGGAATCTAGAGCAGCATGATGATGGTAATAATTCATGTAGAGTAAAGCCTTAAACCCTGAAGTATAAAAATAATAATTGGATGGCAACAACTGTTGTAGTGAAATATGGTGCTTTGCATCCCTAGTCACTTTTAATGGAGAGAATTCTGTCTGCGATCTAAAATAAAGTATACGTATAGCAACTCTACCTCTTTGTTTGTATTTTGTAAGGGAACCGTGCTATGTGGCAGAAATTCTTAAAGAGGTGACATTTTTTTTCCCTCAACAATCTATGGACTATGGAGTAGCTTTTCCCTCCTATTCTATATGTCGTAGAGCTTACATAGAGCAAGTCTCTACAGCTTAAACTATCAACTTAGATTAAAAGTACTCACTTGCTGGAGGGAGTGCAATAAAGAACCTGAGATTCAATTGTGTTATCAATGGGTTGGTGTTTGGTGTGAGGATGATAACAAGTTTTGTCTATCTCAGCCAAAGAGTCAAGGCAGTCATTTTATAGCCCGAGATAGTATAAAACTGTAGGATTAACAACTTAGCTATACTTCGTACCCTTGTATATTATTTGGCATGTATAGCTGTTTACCATTTGGTCTAATAAGATATTTTTTTACTCTCTGGCTTGATAATATTTGATGTTAATTACGTGATCATCATTCATCTTTACAGAAAGTTAACGATAAATTGAAAGCGTTGGAGAGGAAGTATTTTGGCGAGGGATGCCCAATCCGGGTGGTAGTTGTTGGGTGTGGTTACTCTGGAGTGGAATTAGCTGCAACAGTATCGGAAAGACTGAAGGATAAAGGAATTGTGCAAGCAATTAATGTAAATAACACAATCTGTCCATCTGCCCCACCTGGTAACCGAGAAGCTGCCTTAAAAGTAATATTTCTATCGAAAACTTCATGTTTTTACGATTTGATGCTATTGTGTTGAAGTGAGGTGTCTAGATGCATTATTTTATACTTCCTCCGTTTCTTTTTACTTGCAACACACCTTTTAGGCATGCAGTTTTAGGAGATGATTAGTGAAGGTAAACGAGCGATTTTATCAATATAATTTTAACACGAGGATCAAAGTAGGGTTAGGTATCACATGTAAAAATTATTTTGAATAATTTGTCCGTTTACATTATTTAAACTTCGACCTCAAAACACGTGCCACAAGGCTGTGTTGCAAGTAAATAGAAACGGAGGAAGTATTATTTTATTGGCTTCCTATGTTTGATAGAATACTTCCTGTTATGCAAATCCTGATTTATTTGGTGACATCTATAGGTGCTCTCAGACAGAAATGTTCAGCTCTTCTTAGGGTATTTTGTTAATGCTGTAAAAAGAGCTGCTGATGTTGAGGTACTGAACCAGTTGACAGACGGGGAAAATAATGGCATGCAGCAAGAGTCTAAAGAACTTGTTGTGGAAATTCAACCTGCCGAAAGGGGCCTGCAAGGGCAAAACCTGGAAGCAGATTTAGTTCTGTGGACTGTTGGCAATAAGCCTCGCCTTCCTCAGTTGGAGCCCTCTGATAAGCCCCACATGCTTCCTCTTAATGGCATAGGACAAGCAGAAACTGATGAAACTCTTCGGGTAAAGGGTAATCCACGTATATTCGCATTAGGTGACTCCTCTGCTTTGAGAGACTCCAGTGGAAAGCCTCTTCCTCCTACTGCACAGGTGTAATAGCCTGCAATTTTTTTGTTTTTTCTCTATAAACTTTTGCTGCATCAGTTTCTGTTTTGGACACCATAATATTTCTTCCATCTTTAATTGTGGCATTTTCCTTGCTGTCATATCTCGCAGGTAGCTTTCCAGCAAGCAGATTTTACTGGCTGGAATATATGGGCTGCAATCAATGATCGTCCTCTTCTACCTTTCAGGTTGGATTTTCAATTCTTTTTATCGTATGCTTGTATGATTGAGTAATTTGGATTGGCTTCTGGGACCAGGCCTCAGCTTATTCAAGAAACATTTCCTGCCAAAATATGTTACTTCCTCGGTCCCCAAATTAAATTCCCATTTGCCTTTTGCACAAGTTTTTAGGAAGGTGAATAGAGTAGTAAGATAGTGGAGGCCGGTTAATTAAATGTGAATAAAAAGAAAGGTGTTGGGGTTTGGTTGATAAGAAGTGTATGAAAGTCTAACTGGCTTCTACAAGAGGGGGGTTGAATTGTAGAATAGGTGAAGTTTAAAACTTTTTGCGGAATTTAACTAATAAGAACAGTAAAGAGAGATGATATGGGCTTTTGCAAATTTCCACTATGTAATTAAACTCTTTACACGTGAAGATTAAAACCCGTAACAAGTTCCACAAGTTGGAACTTGTTCCCAACTCTCACGGAAGACTTCGACTATGAAGTTTCCTTAACCTCACCGTTACAAAATTCACTATCCCAAACCCAAGTACTTGATTACAAATTGTAATTACAAATACCTAGTACACTCAAGAATACAAAAACTCTCTTACGTTATTTTGTTTACCGGAAATATTGAAGCTCAAGTGGTGTATTTTGCAATGAATAGCTTCGTGGTTTATATAGAGAAATTTGATCCTCAACTTTCACACTGTCCACTAGCATGTCAACCCCCACTAACTAGTAATGGAGAAACGTGACAGTGGACTAGGTAATGGAAGTTTCTCAAACTTCTCCTCAACCCACGTAATAATCAGTTTTGCTAAAATATAGTTCTTGGAAAAACAATTTACTGAGATATTCATGCAACAAGAAGCGTTATCTTTGACTTCTTCAAATTAGGCTGTTTTAAAAGATTTTCTTAAAAAGATTATTTTGAAAAAGATATTTAAAATATTTATTTATTTAAAAACAAATAGGATAATAAACTTAAGTTAATTATCTTTATTCGAAATTTTTATTTAGATAATATTAATTTGAAAATATCTTTTCCAAAAATAAATCTATCTATTTGAAAACAATTTTATCATCAACCTTTTAAAACAATTTTATTCCAGTAACATTATTTATAACGTAAGTCATCGAGTTCCTAACTGACGTATATTTTGAGTGCTTACATTTCATAACTAGATCGTAAGATTTTGCATGAGGCCTTTTGATGCTACTCCGCATCCTTTGTATCAAGTTCCTACTCCGGAACAAACTTTGCTTGAACCCTTTATTCACCAAAGACTTAAAACGCTCATTAGTCAAGTTTGTCAGTTTGTCCATCAAAACCAAAAGGGTCAACAAATTCCCCCTTTTTGATGATGACAAACACTGACAAACTTAGGCAAATAAAAATCGTCCAGGCATGCAATAATGAAAACTTAAAAACATAAAAACACTTAAACAACTTAAACGTTATTAACTGAAAAAAAAACTTATTAACTTTAATTAGACTTTGTACACTCATTTTAAGCCTCTTGTCTGTTCAGTACTCTCAGGAGTTTTCTGCTATGATGGCTGAAGATCTAACTTAATCTTCTGATATTTAAATCTATTTTGGCAACTTAAGTTTAGGACCTATTGTAGTCGGAAATCCCAACCTTCAGGTTCATTTTAATGCTCACCAGGCCACGGCTGTGCATAACAGGTTCACTTAAGGCATTTTTCTCTGGCCATAGAGCCACTAGTAGGAAGTTTTTTTTTTTTCATCCAGGTCTACCGATTTGTTCCCTCCCCCCCAAATAATGTTGACTCACCCTAAATACTTTTCTAGTGTGTTGTGCATAGTACGAACAATAATGATAATGTGAATCATGTTGACTTGTACTCTTTGGTGTTGCAGGTTTCAGAACTTGGGAGAGATGATGACTCTAGGGAGATATGATGCTGCTGTTACTCCAAGTTTCATTGATGGATTAACCTTGGAAGGACCTGTTGGCCATGCAGGTAAAATTCTACTTCTTCAGCCCTTTCAAGATACCTATCCTGTCCTATTTGGTCAAACCATGATTTTTTTGTTATCTTGCTGCAGCGAGGAAACTGGCGTACCTCATCAGGTTACCAACTGATCAGCACAAGATTAAAGTTGGATTAAGCTGGTTCACGAAGGAGGCTATTGATTCCGTGGCAACTCTGCAAACTACCTTAACCAAAGTCCTTTCGGGCTCATCATAGTATTTTGCAAGTCTTGTATTATTAAAAGTTTTCCACAGGTGAGATAACTAGTCAGATTTTAACATGTACTGGAAGTAAACTATTTGTCGCACTTGCTGCAATTTACTATGATACTCGTACAAGCTTACAAGCATCTCTGCTCTCCAGTCTATCTCCACAACCCGTCTTTGGTGAATCTCGAGTCCCAGATGAGAGAATAAAGGTAAGTTGGAATCAGGGTTGAGTGTTGCCTTTGTTTAAACTAAGATTGTATCCTTAATACTCTTTGCAAATTACTCTGTATATGCTGTATGAATGCCATCATCAATTTAGTAAAAACAAATTTACTTTGAGCATTGAATTGAACACATATCCTCTCTAACAGGTCTTAGGTGTAATAAATTTACAAAAATTATTGTTTGACATTAGAAGTTATAAAGTCGCCGTAGTCTCATTTTGTAAGTGCCACTCGTGTTAGATTTACTTAATTTTTTCAAAGGTCTTAATATTACTTCTGATAGAGTATAAAACATAATTCGGGCCTCAACCATTAGCTTAAGCTTTTGGTTGAGCCCCAAGATTATGTTTTATACTCTCACGCCCCCTCACACGAGAGGTCGTTGGGCTTAAAGTGTGGATGTAGCATGGGTCTTCCTCATACCCAACGTTTAATATTCCACTTAAAGTTGGAGGTGGATGGTATCATATCCAGTGCTCTGATACCATGTTAAAGTATCAAATCAACCAAAAGCTTAAACTGATGGTTGAGGTCCGAGATTATACTTCAATGTATAATTAATTAATAATGACATGATTTGTTCAATACGATCATTTTCCAAATAGAATTTTTTTTTTAATTATCTTACTAAATTGAAAGGAATATATAATACTCCGTAGTACTTTATATACTTTTGACTGCAAAACCCGTTCCAGAACTTTGGTTAAAATTTTTAAGATTCCAGATTTGAAGATAATGATATTCCAAAGATTAATGTTCTGCTGAAGGAACGTTTGATTATAATCAGAATTCTGCTGACACAATGTTACGAGAAGATTCTAATTTTTTATTATTATTTTTTTTTAATTATTTTTTTTTTTTTGTTTTCTCCTTAAATTGAACTATCATAGGCTTTTAATATTGAAATCTGGCTTATTATTTTGTTAGCACATGTAATATCAGAGTTAGATATTGAAACATATACCAAACTCAAAAATTTATCTTAAATTATGGCATAATAATATCAAAATATATTCTAATGTCTTTACTTCTTTATACTATTAATCTTTCAAGCTAGATTTCTTAGTAATACTGTATATTTTAAGGGATAAAATTCTGGTTTTGTACTTAATTGAACTATCATACGTTTTCAATTTTAAATCTGGCTAATCGTACATAATTGGCTGATTTGCCACCATTGCCTGGTGGCATCGATTGCAAGAATGAAGTAGGAAACTATCTTATTAATCATCCTCAAGGTTCATTGAGTGATGAACGTTGTTCGTTACTCGAAAACAACCCAAGCCCCCTAATCAAGAGCATTTACAACCAAGCATGTTCCGGTGGTGCCGCACCCACTCCTAGTGCCTTATAAATATTTTTAGTATTTAATAGTGTTGCGGTAGTTTTATTCCGAGTAGTATTTTTTATAATGCGTCATTAGGAACTTTAGATTGAAATAAATGTGATAATCACATATTTAAATATGTACTGGTTAGCAGTAGTTTAATTTTGATATCATCATTATTAATAAAGTTTATTTAGTTATTTCTTCGTATTGTTATTTTAGCTTATTAGCCTTTGCAATATTGTTTGTTTTTCCCTTGTGATCTGATCTTTTACGCGATATGTTTTTGTTATAACTTATTTGCTGGTGTCTGGTTATGGAAGCAAGCCACTAGCCTATACTCAGACCAATAGATTAATCCAGTATTCCAGTTATATTAAATACACTAAAAAAAAAAATCGATCAAATGCTGTACAATTACTCCGTATTTAATTACTTCATTAAAAAAAATAAATTTACTCTATACTTGCTACCTTAACCAACAAATTTTACCATTTAATTATTTGCAACAGAAAAAATAAATTAAATAAATAGAAATCTTAATTGTTCGACACGGTTCAAGCTTACTGATAAGAGAAGTGGATGAATGATATCAAAAGTCAAAATTTTATTATACAACTAGAACAACTAAGAAAGTGATAGTATTTTGTTAGAACCTGTCTTTACATTATTATTTGCATCAAACAAGGTATTGATGACACTCAATGAATTTTAAAACATTATAAGAAGCGAAAACCCGAGTTAAGATTAACTTTTTCTTTGTCATGTTATGGTTTTCAAAAAAGACATTTAGCCAATATCATTTTCTCTTACTCGTATTATTATACGGAGTTTATATACTTATTAGTATAAAGTACTTCAGAAAAAAATTATATACTTTGTATATACAACCATTATAATCTTTGTTTTATAACAATTCAACTGTAAGTCATATAAATTTGACCATTATAATCTTTGTTTTCTAACAATTCAACGGTAAGTCGTATAAATTTGACCATCAAATATCGAAGTAGACTATTACATACTATGATTATGATTGCACACTAAATGAGAAGTCAAGAGGACACTTAAGATATTACTTTGATCTGTACGTAGTATGATCAATTTTTAGTTTTTTAAAAATGGATATATAACTACTATTCTTTGTGTTGATTTGTGTGTGTGTGTTTTTTTTTAGGCCAAGATTCCAAATCGTATAGTTTTGTTGAAGTTTGATAATAATCAGAAGTCTAAGGACACAATAAGATCTCTGGCTTTTTTATGATAAAAAAAAGAATATTCTTATGTATTTATATTATTATATCTTATAAAAGCTTATATCTTAATTAAAAGTAATATTTTATAAGGGATACAAATTCTAGATTTTTTTTTGACACGAACTATAATCTAGATATTACCATTATATAGTTTTAATAAAACTTATAATTAAACGCTTGTATAGTTGTATAGTAATATGAGAGTTAGAGTTTGAATCAAATACCAACTCTTCAAAATTTTTCTCACAATATTATCGCCTAATAATATCAATTCCTAGAGAGTCTAAATTTATGTAACCAGTCCTCAAAAAAAAACTATATAAACCCCCTTATTGGCCTTATACCTCAGCTTCAAAAATTACACAAGTCAACCTTCATACATCATACCATTTATTGAGAAAACAAAACCAAAACAATAAACCCTACAAAAATAATGAAGACTGTTATATTCATTGGTTTACTAGCTCTTTTTATAGGAGGATCTTTTGCCCAAGAAGTGCAACCGGATACGTTCCTACACCCTCTTCCTCACCCACACCCACACCCGCACCCGCACCCGCACCCTCACCTTAAGCCACCTCACCACCGCCCCATATTCCCCGGATGGAAGAGGTCATTGCCACCATTGGCTGATTTGCCACCAATATTCCCACCATTGCCTCCGTTGCCTATTGGCATTGATTGCAAGAATGAAGTAGGAAATTATCTTATCAATAATCAAAAAGGTTCCTTGAGTGATGAATGCTGTTCTTTACTCGAAAACAACCCGAGTCCTTTAGTCAAGAACATTTACAACCAAGCCTGCTCCGGTGGTGCTGCATCCCCTCCTAGTGCTTAAGAAGTTATTTTAGTATGTTACTAGCATTGCAATAGTTTTATTATTGTTATTATTATGATTTTATATTATGCAATAATAGTCATTAGGAACTTTAGATTAAAATAAATGTGGTAATCACATATTTAGATATGTACTGGTAGTTCTCGTGGGTTCATTATTTTTATAGTTTTGATATCATTAATAAAGTTAATTACGGAAATTTAGTTAGTCTTATAGATATACTCGCATTAATTTTGCATATTTCATTCGCAATTTTTATTTTTTTTTCTTACGATCTTTTACGCGAATATCTTTTTTGTTATAAATCATTTGATTGTGTCAGGTTATAGTGTTATACTTATACGTTAATTACAAAAGTGCTTTATAATTTTGGCCTAAAATTGGAGTCTAAATTATGACGAAGTATCTACTACTCTAGCCAATATTCGAACGATCAATATTACGTAAGAAACTACTCTGTTGTTTCTATCTCAAGATTCTCAACGAACCTATTCAACAAATTTACAATTTAAGTCTTTGCAAAAAAAAAAAAAAAAAAAAAACTTGCATACAGATCAGTGTCATAATGCTTTTGCTCCTGATCATGCTATTTCTAATCTCATTAAGCCTTCTCGCGGCTTACACCAGGGCGATCCACTTTCTCCTGCTCTTTTTGTTATTTGTATGAAAGTTTTATCAAAGAAGTTGTTATTACTTAGCAAACAACGAAATTTAGGAATAGGGTTAAAAATTGCCCCAACTGCTCCTCTTATTCCCTGTCTTCTTTTTGCGGATGATAGTTTACTATTTTGTAGAGCAACTGCTACCTCCTGTAATTCCGTACGTACTACTTTATCAGAATTTTGCCTCTCTTTCGGGCCAACTAATAAATTTCCATAAGTCCTCTATTATTTTCTCTAAGTATGTCACTAATCAGTCTAAAGCATCCTTGGCTAGCTATTTTAATATGACCCCAAGATCTTTCTTGAGTCGTTAGTCTTTTTTTAATTCTACTTCCTATACCAAAGTTAATTTTCATCATCTAATCTCTAAAGCTGATCAGAAAATGAATACGTAGTCTTCTAATTTAGTTTCCAAAGCAGGAAGGTTGTTCTTATCCAAAGCCACTTGAAGGCTATCCCGTCTTACGCTATGTCTACAGCTAGGTTACCAGTTTCTGTCACCTCTTCACCGGATAAATTAATAGGGATTTCTTTTGGAAGCAATCCCCAACTAAATAAGGATTACCAATGGTTGCCTGGGATATTTTTCCAGCCTAAAAGTCAGGGTGGTCTTGGGTTACGAAAATCTGATGCTGTCTAAATTAGGGTGGAAGGTCATGTCCGACCCTTCTAATTTATGGGTCCAATCTGTTACTGCTAAATACCTTCGTCATTCCCATTTTCTTACGTATCTCCCTTACTTGATGGACGTACTCTTGGATTTTGAAAAAAATCCTTCAGATTCGTCCCCTCCTAATTAGAGGTCTTTGCTAGAAGGTTGGTAATGGCTCTTCTATCCTCTTTTGGGTTGATATATGGTGTGCTGCTACCAATCTTATTGCTGTGTTAAATTTGGATCTTGAACTAATCCCGATTATTGATATTACTGTGGATATGTTTATTCGAGATGATAATTCTTGGGATGTTCCTCTTCTTCTTTCTGTCCTTCCTAATGATTTAGTTCAAACCATTCGAGGAATCCATCTTCTTTCTTCC